GAGGACCAGAGATGGACACTCAGAGACGGGTGTGCAGGGTTCTGTCCAGGAGGTGGCTAGAAGATGTCCCCATGCTAGGACTGGGGACACTGACTGTCGGGTGGTGATGGCGTGAGAAACCACGCCCAGAAGGCTCCTTCCCCAGGGGCCCTCCTTGCCCTGGAGGCATCCGACGGGGAGTGGTGTCCTGGCTGAGCACAGAGGCTGGCACCACCCCCGCGCCCGGGCCAGGCGGCCAGATAGGTGCCAGGCTCGGGGGAGGCCCACAATGGCCCCCGCACGCGACCCAGCTTTCCACCTGAGAACGGTTTTGTTTTCTAGATAAAAGGGCTTCTGCCCCCGTCCCCCAACAGCTGTGAACCCAGCGGGGAGTGCGGTGCTGCCTGCCCTGGGTTCCGTGAGCAGGGGCCGTGGTCGGTGGTGTCACGGAGACTGACAGAAGCAGAAGTGACACTTCCCATGGCAGGGTTTTGAAAGAGGTGCCCTCTGTGGTGTGCCGGCCACCGGCGGAGGAACTTGCTTCTGCGAGGAAGTGAAGCGCTGAGAAAGCGCCCTGGGGACGCCCTACCCAGGCGGCCTGGGGCCTTGGCGACACTTTGGAAAGCGGCTGTTCACTGCCTGCCTGTGCCTGGCGCTAGGCCAGGTTCTGCCCACCACATCCTGTGGCCAGTCGCCAGACGACCCTGCTTTATCCCCACGAAGTTCCCAGGCGGCCATCTCGCTGTGCTACCGCACCGCAACCCTCTTCAGACGCACTTGGGAGAGCCGGGTTCAGCCCCACACACCGCCAGAGGAAGTGCACGGGAGTGCCAGGGAGACTGGAGAGAGGCCCCGCGCTTCCTCAGGCCCTGCAGGGCTCAGCAGCCTAGCCAGCGCCTCAGCCTGCTAATCCCAGCTTAGCCGGGGCGCCCAGCTGACCCCGGGCCTGGGAGGAAGGGATGTGGGCCCTGGGCCCCACCAGCTCCTGGAGCGGCGCAGGGCCCAGCGGAGCACAGCTTCTGATGGGCACGAGACAGGGTCTACACAAACGCATGAAGGAAAGGAGTGCCTGGGAGGACGGATGGGTCACGGAATTCCCTAACATAGACAGGGACAAAAACACCCTCCCCCTCGCAGCCAGCCGTGGGAGGGAGACCCTCAGCTCTGACTCAGGTCAGAACCCAGTCACTGACTCCCGGGCCGCTGTCCTGGCCCCAGCCATCTCACGCTGGTCTTAAAATCTGGGTTGCACTTGAAGTGAGCGACACAAAATTTACCGCCGCTCACATTTAGTGCACACACCACGCCGTGCACCCCTCGCCTCTCTGGTTGCACTCCCTGGAAGCAGTGCCCCCATACCGACTCCTCTGCACAGCCCTTGGAGCCGCTAAGCTTGGCCCCCGCCGCCGCAGACCTGCCTGGCCTGGCCGTTTCCTGTGAACGGAGCACCGTGAAAATGCTGCCTTTCGCAGCGGGCTTCCGCGGCTCGGCACGTGGCGGCCCGGGTCGCCCGGATCCCTCTTTCTTGCAGAATGATTCTCTGTTGAATGAAACCATTCTGCGTTTTGTGGACCCGCTCATCCGCTGATGGACATCTGGGCTGTCTCTGAGTTTTGCAGATCGTGCCACTACACGTGGCCACACACGGGTTCGTCTGAACACCTGCTTTCATTCTTTCTTGGCGCATGCGTAGGAGCGGAATTGCTGGGTCCTGTGCTCGCCTTCTCAAGGAACCGGCAGAGTCAGCCCAGATTTTCCTTACTGTGTCGTCTGGCACCGGCAGAGCAATGCCGGGGTGGGGTGGGGGGGTGCGTCTCTTCAGCCAGTTCCTCCTCCTGCCCACACTGTTCTGTTATGAATCCAACCCACATCACTCAGCCTCCTGCCTGCCCAGACCCCACAGCAGCCCCAACCTGAGGGCCAGGCTGGGGGTCAGGCCACGGCCACTCAGGACTGTGCAGAGGAAACAGACAGAAGCCTGGACATTGGCTGTAGCTTCACACGACAGAACAGAGTCGAGAGCCGGCCATGCCCCCTGGACGTGACCTTGTGTGAGGGTCATGCCCACTGCCCTCCTCACCCCTCACAGCCGATGAAGGGCACCTGCAGTGACTGCACTCCTGACCCAGCTCCACGGGGCCTCCCAGCATTGGCTGAGAAAGGAGCGGAAATGCGCAGGAAAACACTAGCGCAGGCTTCTCACACCCATGCTGCCTCTTCCTGAGTGCACCCTGCGCGTCACTGCCCGGACTGACCCCATGGAGGGTGGGGGCGCCATGGTGTCTGGCCTTGGTGAAGCCACTCTTAGTTGGACGCCTGTGTCTCCCATCAGAGTACCTGGGCCGAGTCCCGGCTCTGCTTCCAGTTCCGGCTGCCTGCTAATGAGCACCCTGGGAGGCAGCAGTGGTGGCTCAAGGACTTGGGTCCCTGTCACCCGTGTGGGAGACCTGGACTGAGTTCCCGGTTCCTGGCACTAGCCCAGCCCTGCCCCAGCCATTGCTGGCGCTTGGGAGGGAACCAGCAGGTGGGAGAGAGGGCTTGCTCTTTGGCTCACACGTGTTCTAAGTAAGATGAAAATAAGCAGGCAGCCTGCTGAGGCTGAGAGGACCCCGCATCTGGGGCTGCAGGCATCAGAAACCATGGACTGGGGCTTCCTGGATTCCCAGTGCCTCACTGGGCGCCTGGGAGGGGCCCGGAGGCCGGGGCCACACCGATGGGCCGGTGCTGGAATTATTTGCTCCCTCTGCAAAGCAGGCCGAGCACAGGTGGATTATGCACACCTCACAGCTGCCAAAGGCTCGCAGAAGTCTGAGTGATTTGGAAAAGGTCATGAAGCCAGCATGCCGGCAGAGCCGGGACAAGACCCAGACCCCTAGTCCCGAGGCCCCTGCTCCTGTATTAAGACCTTAAAGCAATCAATCCTGCAGACAAAGCGTGGCACCTGCCCTTCAAGGCCACCTGGTGCTGCCCCTCAGCTGAGAACACTGCCGGGAGGTGGGGGTTGGATCTTCGCTCCAAGCAGGGCCACTCCCTCCAGCTAGTGCCACTGGGCAAGGAGAGGACAACTGGCCACCCTGGGACGCGCACACGGCTAAGGCGGGCACCAAGGGGAGCCGCCAGCTAAGGGGCGTCGTATCATTAGCTGGGGGCTCTGCTCTGCTGTCTGTGGCAGCTCCACACACACACACACACACACACACACACACACACACACAGCTCCTTTGCACTTCCTTGCGCGGCTGGTATTCACCCCACCACGGGGTTGGGGGTGTGAGCGGCGGTTCTCCTCCACTGTTCCGGCCACCCTGGGGCGCCGCTGTGTAAGCGTCATTCACACCTCCCCACGTCCCTGCATCCAGACTGTGGCGCGGACACTGGACACAGCAGAGCCCAGGAGGCAGGGGCCACTCTGCTGATGCGGAGCACAGAGCGGGGGTGGGCAGGGGCTGGAGCCAGGAGGTCCCGGCTGGCAAGCCCCCTTGGCTCTTGCTCTCTGTTAGCTTTTTTCAAGCTGACCTTGGATGTAGCCACTTAGGGCCTATCCTCTAAGACCCCAGGTCAGCCCGTGATTCCGGCCCCCAGCAGTGTGCTCAGCGCAGGGCACAGGCCATGCCCGCCAGGTCTCTGCCCCTCCGGCAGGGACGAGTGCGGGGCCCACACAGGGAGGCCGCCTGAGCTCAGGAGCATCTCCGGCCTCTGGCAGGCCACACTGCTGGAGCTTCGCTCGCTCCTGGCCTGCACGGGCACTGCAGGGGCCCCACACCCAGGCCCCCATAGCCACGGCCATGCGTCCGCCCCACAGGGCAGCCCTGGCTCCCGCGGGGACAGAAGGGGCCTGAGTCACTGCCTCTGATAGGCTCTGCTATTTTTGTGTCCAAGTCCGGTTAAAAATAGCAGTCAAAGCCAAGGTTTGAGCTGCAGCTGACAAGACATCAAGTGCTGGCTACCTAACGGCCACAACAGATAACCGTAGGTCTCTCCCCGCGTCCACTTCCTGTCATCAGTGAGAGAGCAGGCGGAGCAGCTGGGGGGAGCCCTAAGCCAAGAACGCCCCACCTCCCTTTCCCAGCTTTGGAGCCTCCTGGAAGAGGTTCCCTGGGGGTAGGCAGCTCAGCAAGGACCCCCCACCAGTCCCCAGCACTCCACAGTGCTGCCTCGCAGACCCTCTCCCCGAAGTGTGTGCCACCCGAGGAGTTGCCTGGGAATCTGAGTTGTTTCTCCCGGCCAGCAGGTGCTTAGAAAGCGACACACACACACTTCTCACTGCAGGGCCAGCCCCTGCCCTTAGTCCACTGCGCCCAGTGGGGGTCCTGCCCACGCCCCAGAGGCCCCCAGGGTGACACTCCCAGGGCTGCCGGCAGCGCCAGCCCACCCCGCCTGGAGGTGCCCAGGCTGCAGTCCTGTCTCCCTGCCCCTCCCCTCTCCCAGCATGGGGAGAGCTACCAGGGCCAGCGAGTTTCTCAGCTCCCGGAGGACGTGCAGTGCGGGGCGAGGAGCTGACAGGTAGAGCAGGCACAGCAGGCCGGCAGGGACACATGGCGCCCCAACAGGTAGAGCGTGGGGTCCCCAGGGCCGGGGGCTCTGCAGCTGAGTCACGGCCCCAGACTTCAGAATGAGTCTGCAGGGGCCGCGGGGGAACCGAGGCAGACCTACTTCTAACAGGTGGACTCTGTGACAGGCAGAGACCGGCCAGCTGGGACCCAGGGGGCACTTCTCAGGGAGTTGGCGGTGGGGAAGGGTCTCCCGAGACCCAGACCACCGGGAGGTCGTCGCCTGTCAGAACTCTGCCCTGCGTCCGCGATGCCCAAGGGCCTCAGCCTCTGCCTGAGCACCGCTAATTCTGGGTTCCCCGCCTCCCTCCCCTGTGCCTCCTCCACACACAGCTTTCCTGGGGCTGAGCCTTGCCAGGGCTCGGCTGGAGGCTGCAGCCCCCGGGAGCCTGGCACAGAGCAGGGCCCCAGCGGAGGCCCCCATTCTAAAGGTGCCCACTAACCACCCGCCCGTCTCTTTGGTTCTTCCAGCGAGAAGCGCCACCTGCAAGTGAACGTCACCAACCCGGTGCAGTGCAGCCTGCACGGGAAGAAGTGCACGGTGTCCGTGGAGACGCGGCTCAACCAGCCTGAGCCCGACTTCACCAAGAACCGCTCGGGCTTCATCCTCAGCGTGCCCGGCAACTGACCGCTCCAGCCAGCCGAGGCCCAGCCCGAGAGCCAGAGGCGTGAGGCACGGGGCCTGGGGCGCGGTGGCCAGAACACACAGCCCCCCAGGAGCAGTGGGCCTCGCTCAGCAGCCTGGGTTCCAGTCTAATTGCTACCTCCCCGCTAATGCCTGCTAGGAATCAGCTCGCAAGGGTCCGCGCCTGAGGGAGGGGCTCCCCTCTGCCTGCAGGACTTCCTCCCAGCTTTCTTCCTTCCGTCTCCGTCTTCCCGTATCAGCTTTGTATGGCGCCCACTCAGTCAACCAAAGACCCTGGTGCCCGCCCCAGACCACACCTCCCACACGGCCAGGTCACACCAGCGCACATGACCCAGTGACCAGCTGCTGACTCCTGCAACCGGATGGAGTTGGGCAGCCCAGGACGCAGTCACTCTCACTGGGAGCCCCTCCTGCCACCACTCCCCTCCCAAGGTGATCACCAGGACCCGGCTCAGGGAGGCTGTGCTCAGAGCTCCTGGGCAGATGTTCCCGCCCCACGCCAGCAGCCAGCCAAAGCCTCCAGGTGAGCAGGTCCACCCGCAGAGCCCGCAGCTGGCAGAGCAGCCACGCCCCTCCGGAGCCTATCCTGGGATGGTCCCTTGCTGCCAGGGCCCCTCTCGGGGGAGAACACCACGAGCGTGCGCCAAGAGCCGTCTTCCCAGCCAGCAGTCGGAGCCCCTCTGGTCAGCCGTCCTCTCTGCTGTAACCACACCTGTGTCTGGAAGCCTGGGAGCCAAGCGGAGTCGCTGGGGCCGGAGCCAGGCCAGGCAGGGGCATGGCATTTCCTGCACCTCTAATTGTGCTCCCTGCTCACCAGGAGAGCCAGGACCAGGGCAGGGGCCGCAGCACAAGGGACTCACGGCAAGTGGAGCAACAGAAAACAGCACAGGGTCCTGGCACTGCAGGCCAGGCCAGGATGCCCACGCCCCAGGCCCTGCACTTACCCCGCCTGCACCCTTACCCCAGGAGAGTGCCACCATCTTGCCAGTTTCTGCCCAGCAAAACACCTGTGCCCATCAGAGGTGCTCAGAGGCCCCTCGTCCCCTACCCCCGCTGCTGAAGGGCCACCTGCCAGGGACCCTGCAGGGAGAAACAGAACGCTTGCCTTTGCTGGAGGGGACAGAGCAGTGCGGCTGGCACTGTGGCGCAGCAGGTCAGGCTGCTGTGAGCAAAGGCTGCAGTCCCGGCTGCTCCACTTCCGACCCAGCTAATGCTCCTGGGAAAGGCAGCAGCAGACAGCCCATGTGCTTGGGCCCCGGCCACCCATGTGGGAGACACAGATGGAGTTCAGGCTCCTGGCTCCCACCTGGTCCAGCCCCAGCTGTTGTAGCCATCTGCGAGGTGAACCAGTAGATGGAAGATATTCTATCTCAAATAACTTTTAAAAATAACCCTGGGCGGGGGGGCACGTGCAGAGCACGCTTCCCCACGTTTCATGGAGGGACCGGCAGGGGCATAAGAGAGGAACTCACTCAAATTCCTTTCACCATCTGCGATAGACACTGCCCCCTCCCGGTGCCCCGCCCCCGCCGCCCTGCCCCAGCAGAAGCCACCAGTGCCTGCCTGCAGCCCCCCGCGCCTCGCCCCGGGCCTGCCCCACCCCTGCTTCCCACAGCCAGCCCATTTTGCACTATGTGCAACCCGCAGCACAGCCTGCTCCGCCGCTGCCCGCACAGCGCCTCGGGCCCAGAGCAGCAGCGCTTACGGCTGTGCCGGGCTCCACTGGACACCAGCCGAACCCCTAACTGGAGCTTCTCCTCCCCTCCTCTCCTCTCCCGCCACGTGCAGGCCTGTGCTCTCAGCACCCCGAAGCAGAGCATGCCAAATGAGTTGCCTGTCAGAGGCAGGAGAGGACGGCGTGGGCTTGGACCCCCTCCCTGCCTCCTGATGCTGCCTCAGGCCCCTCAACCCAGCGCCAGGGCCTTCTGCCGGGGCCGCAGGACGCCGCTGTCCACAAGCACTTTCTTTTTTTTTTCTTTTTGATGTACCAAAAGAAGGGTTGGGAATTGGAGATGCGATCATGGTTACGCAGCCAGGGCGCCGAAGGGAAAGGAGACCCAGTGATTGTATGCAATGAGTGTTTCTCGTGATCAGATGCAGTTTTATGGTTTGGTGCGTATTTTCCTATTTTCCATTAAATTAACTATTTCTAAAGCATATTTTGATTTACCACCCAGAGCAATAAAGCATTAAATCTTATTTTTAAAGGTGTTCTGCTTATCTGTCATTGGAAACTATCACTGTGACATTTTCACGTACACAAAATCGGCCGTCATCCCACAGCACAAATAACGTCAAATAGAGGGCAGTGGGCCCGAGGCTTTTCAACAAAGTGCTCACCAGGGTGGGGGCGGGGGTAGCAGCGGCACGCAGCCCAGACGCTACCCAGGCACGTGTTTATTGAGCGAAGGCTGCAGCTTGGGGACACCAGACCGGGAAGGGTGGGAGGGGAGAAAGCACAAGGCAGCTGGCTCAGCAGGGAGAGGGGAGCTGCAGCAGACACAGCCAGGCCCCAGGGGGGAAACCGGGCAGCCCCGCCGCCTCCGCGTGCTACCCAGCCACCATCACTGCCAGGAAAGAGAAGCCGCGGGGTTTCTGCCACTCAGACCAGGAAGGGCAAGGACCCTTGTCACTGGGCTGACAGCACCGAACCACAACCTGAGCACAAGATGGAACTCCATAGTGCCCGGGGCAGCTGCAGACCACGGGGTGCAGGGCCTGGGGAAGGCCAGGTCCCCCCACCCTCCCCTGAGCCTGGTGGCACAAGCACACCCAAGGGGCCAGCGGGCAGGACCAGGCGCAGACCACAGCGAGGCCATGGGCAGCAAGACCCCGCCCTCCACGGCTGCTTATCAGGGAACCCCAGGGCTGGCTCTCTTGGAAACCCACACAGTGTGGCACTGGCAGGGTTGGGCCACAGTGACACCAGTGCACTCCTGCTGGCCTGGAAGCCTCCAGTGAGCGCCAAGCAGTGCCCAAGCACTGGACGGCAACACACAGGATCTAAGGCCAGCCAGCCCTACCAGACCCACTGGGCCAGCCCTGGCCAAGCCGAGGCCGAGGCGCTGGTCATGCCTACTCCAGCAGCACACACACGCGCGCGCGCACACACACACACACACACACACCCGCGCCCCGGCAGTAATGCGAGCAGACCTGACCTATGCTGCCGCTCTCCTAATCACCTTAGCGTGTTAAGTCCGTTCCCCAGCTCCGTCCCCGTCCCCCCCCCCCCCCCCGCCATACACAAATCCAATTATGTTCTCAGCACACGAACCATTTACTAAAGGGGCCCCCAACCTGCCCACAAACGACAGACCCACAGAAAGAGGCCGTGTGATGGATGGTCAGTGCGTTTTATTGAATCAGCACAGTACAAAAATAAATAAAAATAAGGGAAGGGGAATTAAATTACAGCCACACTGAGCCTCATGACTTTGTCGGATTATAAACCACACATACTCACAAACACGCGGTACATACATACAAAATGAGACAAATATAAATTAATATTAACAATACCCACAGTTTGGTCAAAGAATAGCTACAGAAGAAATTGCACTAAAAAACCAACATCCATCACACGTGTGTAATTAGCAGTTTCAATTATACAGCTATGAACAGTTCCAAGTGGGAAAAATGGCACGTTTTCTTTTCATTGCAAGTTGAACAATTGTTGGAACAAAACTAAATTCTAATAACTGCATGGAAAGAATATATCAACTCTTCAGGTTTACAAGAAAAAGAGGAAAACCAGATCCTGAACTATTCCTGCGGCTGGGTCTGTGCGTGGGGGAGTTCTCACAGCCATCTGTTCTAAGATCATTTTTCTTAAGACACAAAATGCTCCTGGCTTGCATGCACAATATCACTGTAAAAGCAACGATTAAAGAATAAAGGGTTTTTTTCTTTTTTTGAAGTCAGTTTTTTTCATTGTTCTAAAAGTAGTCTTCATAGCAGCATGTCAAACGGGGTCCTGGCGTGCACACTCCAGCGTGCCAGCTGCTCCTTCACAATACCGAGGGCCGCGGCCGCCTCCATGGTGTCCGGCCACTCCCGAAACGTGCACCTCCTCCAGAGACGTAATAAATAGAGAGAAGGAAACAGACACAGAACCGGAAGCCCGTGGACCTGACTCGACGGCACAGACGCAAGTCCCTTCAGCCAGCTGGGTGTGTGCTCTGCCCCTCCCCCATGCCGCCAGGGGCCAGCTGCCCCTCAGGTGGTGCGCGGCGCAGGCTGAAGGCAGGCTGTGTGGAAACTACAGCAGAGGAGAGACGCCGGGGCTGGGGGGTGTCTGTGCCAGCAGCCACAGGGCCCCGCCGGCCCCGGGTGTGTGCACACAGGCCCAGGGCCAGCTCGGCGTGGGTCCCGGGGGTGCAGCTGCCCACCTCCGGGAGCTGGGGGCCGGCAGGTGCTGCTCCAGGCCTCGCCAACCAGGACCTCAATTTCACAGCTTTCTGTTTCACAAGAGTCTCAGTAGTGCTTGTGCTGAAGTCGGCAGCCCCTAGGACCCACTCCTATGTAAAACGGCCCCCAGCTCCATCCTCCCAGCGGCCGGGACTGGGCAGATCCTCCCGGCATCTGCCCGCCGCTCTTTGTTCTCCGAAGCCGGAGCGACAGGCCACGGAGGAAGACCCGCTCCCTTCTCTTGCCCCTCTCCCGGGGTCAGGCCAGCAGGGGAAAGCAGCCGTGAGGCACACACCATGTGTTCCCGCAGCCAGCAGGCTAAGGGGGAAGCAGCCCCAGCGGCCGAGAGTGAGCGGGGCACAGTCAGCAGTCACACTCGCGTCCCTTACTGTCTCCAGGGCAAGACCGAGCCATCTTGCAACAGAAATTAACAGGGCTGGGGGTGGGGCTAGTACGCCACTATCATAAACCCCCAATCCCCGACACCTTCTGCCCCGGCGCTCAGCAAGACGGACGTCGTGGGCGCCAGCAAGAGGCCTGGGCACCTGGGTGGATGCCACCTGCCCAAGACGCGTGCTGCTGCTGACGGGCACCTGTGGCCGTCCTGGCACACACCGCAGGTGACCGGTCCGCGTCACTCAAGTGAAAAATTCAGCCAGGAGAGGAGTCGGCCCCAGCTCTGCCCCACCCCTTTAGCTAGGACCCAAAATGAGAGAACCGAATGAGTCAAACCAGCTTATTGGCCAACGCTGCCCACACAGCTGGGCGCAGTGGACAAGGGTGCAGATGGGGCGAGTTGCATTTCTCCACTGAAAGGAAGCCCTTCTCCCTAAAAAAGAAGTAAACCAGGGCCTCGTGTGGCCAGATGACCAGACGCAGTCCCCGCACTACGGCCGCCGCTCTCCGCCCCACCTTGGCTGACGCCGCGGAGGATCTCGCCCCACAACCCCGCTCGCCGCCCCGCTGGCCTCTGGGAGAACGAATGGCTCAAAACGGCTGCCAGCAGAGAGCCACCTAGCACAAACCCCAGTTCCTCCCCGGAGCCCCTGACCAGGGGCCCCTCTCCAGCACCCGTCCAGGGAGCAGAGGGCAGCCCGGGCACCAGCAGCAGAGGCGGGTCGGTCCTTTGCATTCCCCGGAGCGAGAGGCCAGCAGCCTGGCGGCTCTGGCCGCATCTTCTGGGTCTTGCACAAGGTCTGTGAGCTCCAAAGTACCCAGAGGTGCCGGTGAGGCCAAAAACGCACCCGGAGGAGAGACGGTGGGAAGGGAGAGCGCCCCGGCGGCTTCGCTAGACACGTACTGTACACAAAACTCCGATTCTGTTTAATAAATTTTTAAAAACGCACGGAACCCGCGAGCCCCCGGCGTGGGCCCCGGGGCTCACCGGTCGAGCCCGAGGAGGAGTCGCTTCTTGTCCTCCTGGCTGCTCTCGTTCTTGAGGTCGGAGAAGACCTGTGTGAAGTAGTGGGGGTCGGCGTTGATCTGCAGCATCTTGGAGCTCATGAGGTTGATGACGGAGAGGCAGCGGTCCCAAAAGGCCTCCTTGCGGCTCTCCACCAGGAAGGGCTTGAGGGGGTAGGAGATCTCGTTGCCCATGTAGGAGTAGGAGAGGTACAGGCAGGTCAGCAGCACGGCCTGGAGCTCGTGGTCCGAGCCCACCTCGGAGGAGATGACATCCCGGCAGAGCATGTACAGGAAGACCACGTTGGCCGGCGTGATGAAGCCCTGGTCCTGCCAGCCCTGCAGCAGGAGCGAGCGGTCCACACTGCGCAGCCAGAGCACGGGGTCCGTGGGGGACAGGTGCTTCAGGCGGTAGCACCGGCGGCACAGGAACTCGCCCAGGCAGCGCAGTAGCTCGCTGGTGGACGCCTGGACGATGACCCGCTTGGGCGTCCCCGCGGAGCTGACGGCGGGATGCGGGGCCTTCTTCACGGAGGAGGAGCCCCCGGTCTGGGAGCCCGGGAGCTGGCTGGCCGCGGGCGCGGGCGGCTGGGCCGGCGGGGGCTGGGCGAACGTGGACAGGTTGGCGCACGACAGCGACTTCTTCAGGTTCTCATTGTTGAGGTGCGTGATGTTGTTCTGGTAGCTGCTGTTGGGCTGCACCTTCTTGGAGTTCTTCTTCTTGGCCGACACGGCCACGATCCTCTTCCACGGGAGCACGGAGATGATGGAGTGCCGCTTCAGGTTCTTGTCCTTGGCGTTCTTGCTGTTCTGCACGGCCGTGTAGTGGCCCACGGTGGCCGCGCCATCCTCAAACAGCGCGGCCTTCCGGTAGCTGGGGGACAGGGACAGCACCGTGCCCATGGTGCCGCTGCACGCCCAGCCTGCCGGCCGGCGGGGAACACCAGCTCACCGCGCCTGTGGCCGCCCCGGGGAGCAAAGCGGGCGCTCCTAGGACGCGTGCGGCCCCTCGGATCTGCGTGGAAAACAAGATGGTTCTCAGCACCAGGCGGGGCTCCGCGCCTCGGCGGCGGCCCCCACGGACCCAGGCCCAGGCCCCCGCTGCGGGGGCCCTCGCCCCAGGCTCTGCGGCCCCGCCCGCGCCCGCGCGCCGCAGCCTCGCCGTCTCCACTGCGGCACCCCCGCCCGCCGCCGCCGCCGCCGCTGCGGTCCCGAGGCGCAGCCGGGAGGGGCCCGGGCTCGGGCGGAGGCAGCCGCAGACCCTAGCCTCGACACCCCGCGCGGCCCCTGCCCCGGCTCCCGGGGCGGCGAGACGCTCGCCCAGCGCAGGCTTACCCGGCAGGCGGGGGCTCCTGCGCTCCGGGCCCTCCGCAGTGCGCGCCGCGGCTCCGCCGCCGCGATCCCGGCGCTCGGCGGCGGTGGCGGCGCTGCCGAAGCTTCTGTCCAAGGTTCTGCAGGCGCCGCGGCCCCGCCCCCCGCCCGGCCGCCCTCGCCGCGCTCGCGCTCCCGCCTCCGCCCCCGGCGCGCACCCCACAGGCCGTCCTCTCGGGAGCGAGCGAGCGCCGTGCGCGCGCCGAGCCCAGGCGGGCCCGGTCTGACCCGGGAGCCGCGGCCACCGGCGTCCTCAGCCCGAGCTGCGCGCGGTGCGACAGGAATCATCCGCGAGTGATGGACGGCGGAGAGACGGTTAGCCGTCTCCTCCCGCACTGCTCGCCGCCGCCCCGGCAGCGGTCCGGTCGCGCGAGGGTCCCGGGCGCTCGCGCAGGCGAGCTCGGCCGGCGGGGCGCGCCGGGGCCGGGCGGGGCCGAGCGCCGACCCCGCCCGCCGCGCCGCGCCGCCCCGCCCAGACACGTGCTGCCTTTGTTCCCGCCGCGGCGCCCGCAGCTGCCGGCCGAGCCCCGGGCCTGGCAACGCGCAGCGGGCCCTCCGCCGAGGCCGCGCCCGGAGCCCGTTCCCAGGAGCTGGGGAAAAGAAGGCTGCGGCGGGGAGAGGCGAGGCCGTTCCCGAAGCCGCCTGAGAACCACGCGCACCCCCGGTGGCGGCGGTCCCCCGGGGGCCTCCGTTTCCTCGCGCGGCGGTCTCAGAAATCCAGGCCGCGGCCGCGTTCCGCACTCCAAACCTGCCGTGGAGCCCCGGGCGGGCGACTCACCCTCACCTGTCAGGGCAACGCGGAAGCGACTGCTCCTCCAACCAGCCTCTGCCTCGGATGTTTTCCCTTCTACACCCGCCTGATCTGACAACCTGACGCCAATAAAACTGCGTAAAATCCCGGTCCCAGTAAGAGCCGTTCCTCAGACGTGACCCCAGGCCCTTGGCCAAGACCACTGTTCACTTAGTGCTTTTGATCGGGTGGTAACCTCTTCTCTGCCGGGGGTGCAGAGGTGAACGAACACCCAATTCCCTGACACTGAGCTGGCACCACGCCGAACCTTGCTGCCGTCGAGTCAGGAAGCGCTAGCATTCAGTTACCTATCAACCAGAAGTCGTTCATGGTGGCGACGCAGTTTTAGGAACCTTGGTGCCGGCGCAGGCATTACTCTGTACCCAAAGGGCTGCTCCCTGCCCCCCCCCCACACACACACACACAAAGCGAGTTTATCCCTGCAGAACCACCACAGCAGCTGTTGCTGATTTAGAAGGCCGAGTCAGCTCAGCGTGCCCCTTTGAAGTTCCGCAGTATACAACTGTCTTAGTCCATTTTCCGTTGCTAAAACACAACACCTGAGCACTGGGTGATCCATAAAGAAAAGAGGTGTACCTGGCAGCCAAATCCGCTCAGCTTCAGTGGCTTCGGCTCAGCAAGGCAGAGGAGCAAGCCGGCAGGCACGTGGAGAGGCACGTGTACCAGCGAGAGGAAGGTTTTTTATAGCCACCCACTCTGCAATAACCACCCACCACCCATTCCCCCGAAAACCACAGTAGCTCCTTCAAGGGGGTGGAGCCTCCATGACTTTAAAGCTCCCACCTCCTGCCAATGCTGTTAACACTGGAGACCAGGCCTTGTGGGCTTTGGTGAAGACAAGCCATGGACACAGCAACAATCCTACCTGCTTTTCAGGTGGGGCAGTCCTCCGCCTTCAGGGCAAGACACTCAAAGTTGCTCCTGGCTGTTCCAGTCCTCTGGTCCACTGTCTGTCCTCCTAAGGCCAAGCTCAACCCCAGCCCGTGCCTCCAGCCCTCAGCGGAGATGGCCAAGCCCCCTTCAAATGCTCATGTGGAGCTAAACACTCTCCATTTCCCAAATTATGCCAGAGTCCTAAGCCTGTGATCCACCCCTCAGAAGAAAACTCAACCTCAATTCTAACTATTCAGTTCCCAAGCCAGAAGAACCCCTGCATGGGCCTTTCCCAGCCTGCCTGCAGTTTTTTTCTTTTTAAGATTTTTATTTGAGAAGCAGAGTTACAGAGAGAGAGGCAGATTTTCCACCTGCTGGTTCACTCCCCCAAATAGCCACAGCTGGGCTGACCCAAAGTCAAGAGCCAGGAGCCTCTTCCCAGGTCTCCCATGTGGGTGCAGGGACCCAAGGACTTGGGCCATCTCCTACTGCTTGCCCAGGTCATCAGCAGGGAGCTGGATCAGAAGTGCAGCAGCCAGGACTGGAACCAGTGCCCATGTGAGATGCCGACACCAAAAGCAGAGGGCTGGTCTACTATGCCACAGCACCAGCCCTGCCTGCATCCCGCATTCCCGCCTGCTCTCTTACCTTTGCCCTGTCAGCCAAAAGCACCTTCAAAAAGAGCTCCTTGGCGCAAGTGACCCAAACTTCTCACACCTGCCAGGGGCAAAACTGCGTCCAGCTGAGAAGCAACGGCCCTGACAGCCCACTTGTAGCTGTGCCTGAGGGACAGGTTTCTTCAGGAACCCCACCCACCCGCTGTGCCCGCTCCAAGGCACCACTCACAGCTGGTGCTCACCCACTCCCCACCCCCAGCTCCCACCAGTGCTCCAGTCGGGAGGCAGGAAGGGCCAAACAAGGACCCAGAAGGCAGGTCTGGCTGAATGCTGCAAGGCTGTTTTCATCCCTGTCATCTTCACCAGAGAACCATGGGGTCCTACCAGTCAGCCTACTTACCCTGTGGCCCACCCCTAGCTGCCGGCTTGTTGTTGCCTGGCAACAACAGTGCTGGGATGCCCACGCACTGCCCACCAGAGCCCACCCTTGGGACCACCCACTTCCCATACTCCCCCAGGAAGGAAGGCTGGCCAAAGTACGTGCCAGCTACAGCTTCCGGAAAGGGTTCCAGAGAAAGCCAGGCGGAGTCCTGGCTCCCGAGGAAGTCAGCCTTGTGACTGCAGAGATCACTGAGCAGCATCTAGTGGCGCTTCTGGGCAGCACGGATTACGTAACCACAGGACACGAGAGCCAGCCGCTGAGCCCCGGCCTTGGTTCCCAGCACCAGCCATCTCACTAGCACAGGCCTGGCATCGTGAGGGCTGGTACCCAGAAGGGACCCTCAGTGAGAGTGCCCGGGCACAGGCCAGCCAATGAGCCAGCCGGCCTTCTCCCACGCCTAGACTCGGCTTAAGAGAGGCCTGGGAGAGGAGCACTGTACAACCAGTCTCAGGGTCTGCAGCAGTGCTGGCGCCACCTTGGCAAGTCATAAAGGTTCAGTACTTTTAGTAGCCACATTAAAATAGTAAAAACATACAGGTAGATTTTAATAATTTATTTTATTTAACCCAGAATACCCAAAATATTTCCACACACATATAAAAAAGTGAGTGAGATAGTTAACATTTGTTTTTCATACTTGGTCTTTGAAGTTTGGCTTGTTTCTACACTTGCAGCACGTCACAGTTCAAACTAGCCCCACTGCAACGGCCCGACAGCCGCACGTGGCTCCAGGCTACCTGTGTACTGGACAGCGCAGGTCTACAGAAGTCAGACTGAGGCCCGAGAACGAGCAGAGAAACGCTGTGCTGTCCTGAGTCCCGCAGGGCTGCCCTGGGCGGGGAGACCCTCTCCCCACTGCTCCAGGTCTAGATCACTCTGGAGTGTTTACATTTTAAAGTCCTTTATAGAAGCAAAACTCTCTGCAAGTAAAATTACATACAGACCACGGTATTAGACCAGAATAGCAGAACTACTCAAACTGCTGGCCCCCAGAGCCCCCACAGTCCCTCAGAACTACTCCCAGAGCCTGAGGAAGTAAGAAAACTGCTGCTTCTGAAGAGCTCAAAAGGAAACTGAACCCCACTTGGTTGTCAGGACTCTCCCAGCACTTCCCCTCCCTTCCTGGGACCCTCACATCAGAATCACCTCCAAGGAAACATCCTCCCAGCACAGAGGAGTAAATGGGCGGAGGGTCTTGCTGCCCAAGCCCACTCATCGTCTCCACACCATGCCGCCTTGGAAAAACACAGACTCCATTCCGAGTTCAGACCTCACAAACCAATGTTCTTGCCCAAAACCCTCCAAATTTGGACTCCAAACCTGACCTAAGGGCTGCCCTTGAGCGAGTGCAGTAACAGAGCGTTGGCGGGGTTGGAAGGCTAGGCGTCGCAGGCTGTACAGAGCTGTTTGGACTTGCTCAAAGCCCTACAGCACTCAAGAAAGGACACCTTTTGAAAAAAAAATTATTTTTATTGGAACTCATCTGAACATCAGATATACCTGGTGTTGGTTAGCAAGAACCGTTTGTACATTTGATATTGATGGTGCCAAAACCAAAACAGTGACTGGACATGACGGGGAGGAAAGATGTTGAGAACAAAACCTGATTTTGGAGAGGAAAATAAAAGCCAGTCTGATTCAGTGAAGATGCAAAACCTGGTACAACAAAATCCTTTTACAAAATATAAATTTATTACGAAAATCTGGAAGGGTACTCTGAGAAAGGTAAAGAAAGAGAAAAGGAGGCCAGCAGGGAAAAGGCAGGAGGAAGGAAAGAGAAAGAGAAAGAGAACAGAGAGAGAAGACAAAATGTCGTTAAGCACAACAAAGGTGCAGAAGCTTACCTGCCCGGTGGCATTAGAGCCTTGTTATGTAATCGAGCAGAACACAAAGCATGCTGAAATAGTGCTCTACCTCCCATCCCTTCCACTCCAAGAGGTAAATAAAGAAGCTCCTCTGAAGGGCACATGAGGTTGCTCAAAAACCCAACGAGGAAAATTTTTAGAAAACAAAAAAAGAGAAAAAACCACACCCCACAGTCTCATTTCCGATGTTCACTGTTTAAAAAAGGAAGAAATTCATCTGCCAGCAGGAAAGGAGGAGTGGGAGAGCTGATGGATTTCAGACAGCCCAACTCCTCTGGAGGGGAGAAGAGGAGACGTGTGATGGTCTCCTGGCTGAGAAGAGAGAAGGGGAGACAGAGGAGAAGAGAAGAGGAGGGGCAATTAAAACACTGACGTCTCATCTGGTTTACGGTGTTAGAAGCGCCACATGCACAGCAGGCCCGGGGCTGAGGGCCCACACTGCTCCCTGCGTGCCGGGCGGACACCAGCTCCGGGCCTTGTCCCCATCCCTTCACAGGTCAGCGCCGAGCCCTGCAGGTGCTGCTGCTGCTGCTGCTGCTGCTGTGGTGGCGGCGGGACTTCGGCTCACCCGCTGGAGCCAGTGGCGGGGGGAGGGGAGGGTGGACAGGCCATGTGGCGGGGGTGGGGGAGGAAGAACACGGAACGCCTCATTTCAAATAAAAAAGAAAACAGCAGTCTATACACAGTTGTTTGTTTTGGTTCAGTACAAACAGAATAAAAAGTCGTTGCTTTCGATGGTCAGCAAACACCCAATTCTGAAGAGGAGAGGTGACACCCAGAGGGTGGACGAGGCCCCACAGTGGTGGGCAGGGTGCCTGGCTTTGCAGCCCTCTCCCGAGAGGCAGAGAGCACAGCTTTAGGTAGTGTAAGCCTTTTTCCTTTTATTTAGAATAATCTTTTTTTTTTCCTTTTCTTTTTTTTTAAGCAATTTCCCCACTCCCAAGTTGGGCCAGTAAAGATTACATGAAAACTGGCACACCTATCGGCTGGAATACAGATGCACCAAATGAGGATTTAAAAACTTTCCGAGCGAAAAGTAGAACACAAAGAAAAAAGAATCTCCTAGCATTTTCCCCCAAGGTTCCACTCTCCCGCCACACACACTCGCCAAAGGACCGCTACAGATCCAACTCTGTAAGAGAAGACAGGGCAGCGTCAATCGGGAAGCCACGAGGACACCAGGAGCAGGTTTCAGTCTCGACAGGCAGAAGACAGCGCTGCCTGGCCCTGGGTCCTAGAGCCGGCACTCACCTATGTCAGTTTCTTGGCTTTGTTGTAGAGGGAATCCACTACTTTACTCATGTTCTGAATTGTTTCCAGAGCAGCTTCGTAAGTTTTATCTACTGGGGGTTCATCGAAAATAATCAGGACACCCTCCCCCTGGTCCAAAATCCCTGCAAAAGATACAAGGGCAACCCAGGTAAAAGACAAGATTAGACCAAAACACAGCTGTGAAGCGGCCCACTGCCGAGCCGCCTCCATCTCTCCAAACCTGTCTCCCGCTCCACTTGCCCATGCTTATCACACACTCACCATGGGGAGGAGGGGTCAGGGTCCCAGGGAACCAGCAGGACAAACAGAGCCCTTTTTTTTTTTTTTTTTTTGACAGGCAGAGTTAGACAGAGAGAGACAGAGAGAAAGGTCTTCCTTCCATTGGTTCACTCCCGCAATGGCCGCTACGGCCGGCACTGCACTGATCCGAAGCCAGGAGCTGGGCACTTCCTCCCGGTCCATGCGGGTGCAGGGACCCAAGCACCTGGGCCATTCTCCACTGCCCTCCCGAGCCATAGCAGAGAGCTGGACCAGAAGAGGAGCAACCGGGACTAGCACCCGGCGCCCCAACTGGGACTAGAACCCGGGGTGCCAGTGCCCCAGGCAGAGGACCAGCCCAGTGAGCCACGGTGCCAGCCAAACAGAGCCTTTTAAAGAGAGACCTCTTCCCTCTTCAACCACCTCATCAACACTCCCAGCCCCTTGCCTGTGTGACTATTACTCACCATGAAACTTCTTGTCAAGAATCATCTGTGATAATTTCCTTTCCACATCGGCCTAAAATCAAAGCACACAATTAAAGGGACTAGTATCCATTAGTTAGAGATCACCCTGACAGGAAAGGGTTGTAGAAGGGGTTTTAGGGCAAAAGGATTGGAAACAAAACAGCAACAATGCAACCAACTCCAGCTCTGAGCCCAGTGTTGCGGTTCTCCGCTGAGAAGCTTGGCAACTTTCCGACAGACCCATCAGGTACAAATGCCAGCCCCTCTGCACCTTCTCCCCATCCCTACCCACTCAGTGGCCTCAGGGACTCCTTACCTTGGAGAGTTTGATGAGGCTAGATATGTGTTCAATCTAAAAAGAAAGCAGAGAGACACCAACACTGAAAGTTTTACTTTTGTCTCCAATAGGAGATGGGGATATGGGGGTGTGGGAGTGAAACCGCTGTATCTCTTGACATCCTTGCTAAATATTTCATTGGCTGAGCCTCAGTCTCATGTGATCTGTCCATCTGCCTGCCTTTCTCTAGACAATAAACACACTCATGTCCCATACCTTCAATACAGATAACACTGGCCACAGGCACGGTGACCACAAAAGCAAGAAGACTACAACCAGAACTCAAGCCTCTCCCTACAACATCTCTCTCCTTAATTCACGACTATCAAGACAGCTCCTGGTGGCCTCGTGTCCACCAGGCACACCCCTGGAATTGAGTTCCTGTTTTGGGTGGCTGTGTGAAGACAAAGGATGCCAAGGCAGAAACAGATGGAGTCCCCAGAGGGTTCTTACCTGTACTCGTGAGAAAGGCTCAATGACCCGGATCAGATTCTGTTCCAGTAAGTTATCATACAACTTGGCCAGGTGTGTGCTGATGATTGGGTCATCACGGAGCTCTGCCCGATAATCTGTCAGGGCCTGTCCAAAGAACCAGGAACAGAAATTTGGCACAGAGAAGGGCTTTTAACGTCATGCTACTCCTAGCTTTCTAAGTAGTCTGCTGGCCCTGGTAACTATATGGTTGAAGGAAGTTCCAAGAGATCTGAGGAGATGAGAGAAAAACCAAGACAGAAAGCAGAAGAAAAGGAATGTCAAGAACTAAAAGACACAGGTAGGAACTGTGGCAAAGTGGGTAAGCTGCCACCTAGGATGCCCACATGTCAGATCAGAGTGCTGGTTTAAGTCCCAGCTATTCTGCTTCAGATCCAGCTTCCTGTTACTGCCTCTGGAAGCAGCAGATGATGGCACCTGACACCCACATGGGAGACCTGGTAGAGTTTCTGGCTCCTGGCTTCAGCTTGGACAGCCCCAGCTGTTGTGGCTATTTGGGGAAAGAACCACTATATGGAAGATCTTAAATTAAAAAACAAAACAAAACTTAAAAGATAGAGCTATTTGGGGCCAGCACTGTGGTGTAGCAGGTAAAACCGCTGCCTGCTGCACTGACATCCCATATGGGCACCAGTTCTAGTCCCGGCTGTTCCTCTTCCAATCCAGCTCTCTGCTGTGGCCTGGGAAAGCAGTGGAGGATGGCCCAAGTCCTTGGGCCTCTGCACCCATGTGGGAGACCCAGAAGAAGCTCCTAGCTCCTGGTTTCAGATCAGCGCAGCTCTGACCATTGCAGCCATCTGGGGAGTGAACCAGCAGATGAAAGACCTCTCTCTCTGTCTCTCTTTCTCTCTCTCTCTGCCTCTGTGTAAATCTGCCTTTCAAATAAAGAAATAAATCTTAATTAAAAAAAAAAAAAAAGAGCTACCCACTTTCAGTCTGAAACCTTTCCATCAACAGTTCAAATCTGTAACCCCATGGTTACAGCTGGGTCAATTTAACTACAAATGTATTTCAGCATGTATTCCAAAGAACATATATGGTCTCCATGAAAAAGAAAAAATTCTGGGGTAAGCAACAGAAAATACTGAATTCTACAAGTAGCTCTTTGAATTTTATGAGGAATATGAGCACAGGATGGCCCTGCACTCATAAGAAAATACAAGACCTTTCCAGTTTTGTTGGCTCTTGATGCTTCCCAAATGTCTCATCATAGAACCTCTTCTCCCAACAGCCACATGGAACAGAAGTGTTTCATCAGATATCCCCAAGTCTGAGACAAAATGCTCTTGACTTATTCGTGTATGTACTTATTTACCATTACTAACTGTCTCAATACCCCAGCCTCACATCGGCTGTGCTGCAAAGGTGTTAAAAGAAACAAGTAAATCATGACAAGTAAGGGGCAAAGGAATTGGAAAGAACCTTCCAAAAAGATGAAGAATGATGGGAACAGTCAGAGCCACATAGTCTAGTCTCCACACTACGTCCTTGCTTCCAGATCTAGTTTTGTTATTATTAATTTGGTCTTTACACTAAGAGGGGAGAAATTCAGAAAAGAATACATAAGCCTCACTCTAAGGTAAGTTGTTCTTCCTTTCTGAAACGTCCCAGACAATGAGCAAAAGGCACAGGAGTCAAAGGAAAATTGGAATAACACCCTGGGGAAGTGTCTAGACTTTCCGTTGTGCACAGAGAAGAAGCAGACCTAGCATGTGCGGAGCAGATGGAACACCTATGACTGCAACACATGCAACAGCTGCAAGTCAGACCCCGTTAGCTGTGTGACTTTGGGCATCCTCCTGAACCCTGGTTCCCTCAACCACACAATGCAGGTAACAGATCTGCCAGGGGAAAGGATGACAGAAAAACCTCTGAAATTGAAAAAGTTCCCATATATAAATTATATATCATTTAGATCACCTTAAGTTTCACCGTATACAAGTGCATAAACATTTTCTGGTTTTGATATTTTACCAGGTGACTCGTACAAGGGATCACTATACTATTTTGCAACTTTGTGTGGAATTCTATTTCCGTTAAGTTTTCTTAAATATACATCCATTCTCCTCCACCCATTCCCTACCAACCCAACACCATGCTCACCTTTTCAAAATCTGCCAGTGATCTGTTCTTGCTAGCCTGAGCCACGCATTTTAATGCTTCTGTCTGAGAATAAAGAGACAAATCGTGAAAGTGATCTATTGTGCACTCACATTCACCCAAAAAGTCTCATGAGCAGTCTGTCGAAGAGCCCTCCCCACCACTGCTCCTTCAGAGGTCTGGGAAGAAAAACTACAAGTGTGGATATCACTGACAACCAGTTTCCTTTTGAAATCTTAAAGACACTAAGAATACTAGGAAATAGGTTTTCCAAAAAGACCCCAATGTAGCATTCTCCACAGTTGACACGCTCAGAGGGGACTGATGAGACAACTGTGGTCTTCCTCCTTCCTCCAGGACTCCCTTATCTCCACACCCACCCCACCTCCCTCCTGCCCTCAGACCTGCCTGCACCTGTGCTTTGTCCAGTCACTCGGAGATGTCTGGGAAAGTACTAGGGCCCACTTTCATTAGGGCCGAGGCGTCAGTATACACAGAATACACACTCACAGGGATGAAACCACAATCGGTGGTTATGGGGAACTTCTCATATAATTATAAAAGGCCAAGCTACCAAGTCTCCACTCCGTAAGAAATCTGCAATGCTCATTTTTTTTTTCTGGGAGACCAGCCTGACTGCTATTTGAAAGCTGTCATCCAAGTATAAAGGACAGAAGGAGCTGCTCTTCTGTCAGACTACATCCTTAAAGAAGGACAGTATGCTTTACCACACAGCGGATTAAATGGTGCACAGCTATCGCAAGGGCGGTCTGCGGTTGACATTTCTAGAACAAATGTTAATGCTACAATGACAAAAGCCTGAACCCAGAACCATATAACTCAAGCACAAAGTCCAGCTCCATTAGCTACCTGACCTTGTACCAGACACTTGACCTATCTGCACTCATCTCCTCAACTCTAATTCTAAAGAGATTAGTGCATCTGTCACTACAATAGTAACAAGTATTTTTCAGGTCAAAACTAGGAGCTGACTTGAAATTTTTACAGATGGAATGCCAATTTCAGGGCTACTTGTAGAGAACAAAGAAATTATGTTGTGGCCGTTCCTCCAAAAATATGGTGAGATAGCCAATTTGCTTGTTTGCAACAATTGCATTTGAAATGCAGAAAGTCTGCTTTCACTGGTGCTAATCAGGCAGAGTACAAACAGGGGATGGCCCACATCTGAGAAATGAGACTTACATAGGTCACAACATACTTGCTCTTTTAAGCCCATTCATACCCACTCAGACATAAGGTATCACAAAAAGGGCTACCAATCACCAAGAGTCTCTTTTTTCATCAAACTCAAATTTTAAAGCATGAGTGAAAAGGTACTGGGGCTGGCACTGTAGCAGAGCTGTGGCGGAGCCGGTGAAACACCAGCCCTGGCTGCTACAGCCATTTGAAGAGTGAACCAGCAGAAGAGCTCTCTCTCTTTCTTCCCCTCCTTTCTCTGTAACTCTGCCTTTCAAGTAGATTAAAATAAATAAATAAATCTTTGGGGGAAAAAAGGTACCGAGCTGAGAAGCACTCAGGTTGGTATCAAAGCCCAGTTTTACGCCAGGCAATCTAACCTCCCTAAAGCACATATGCAGCAGAACTGACCAGGTTCCTGACTCTGGAAATCCAAGATTTCATAGGCTCATGATAGTTAATCTTTTGGTCAAAGTTAATGCAACCTAACTTACTCACTCTACAGTTCAGTTCTGGAAGTCCCTCAAACCACTTGACATCCATAAAAGCACAAAACACTGAATTTCTGGCCCAAGAATTTAACAGCATAAGAAACATACTGAGGGGCTGGTGCCATGATGTGGCAGGTAAAGCCACCGCCAGCAGCACCAACACCCCATATGGGCACCGGTTTGAGTTCTGGCTGCTCCACTTCCGATCCAGCTCCCTGCTAATGCACCTAGGAAAGCATCAGAGGACGCCTCAAGTACTTGGGCCCCTGCACTCACATGGAAGACCTAGAAGCTCCTAGCTTCCAATTGGCCCAGCCCTGCTGGTGTGACCATTTGGGAAGTGAACCAGCAGATGGAAGATCTCACTATCTCTTTGTCTCTCTCTCTCTCTAATTCTGCCCTTCAGATAAATAACTAAATCTTTAAGAAAGAAAAAAAGAAACATACTGAATGTGCTTAAGGGAAGGAAGCAGGCAGGGGGAAGGAGAGAGCAGCATGGAGCCCTGAACAGCACTAGTCTCATCAAACAAGGTGACTGACAACATGCCGGCCTGAGTGAGAAGTGCAGTCAAGGTATTCCCTACCTGCCTCCCTGCATACCGAAGTGCAAGCTTCCCGCTCACCAAAGCCTGGACATCTTCTGGGCTAGAAAAAAAGACATACTCGGTCAATTGCTCCAGGATGTTACGCCTCTAAGCATAGGTTTAGGTGAATTTTCCTTTTTCCAGAATTCTACTGTGAACACTGGGAAGACACTGCCCACGCAAATAATCAGCCCCAACCCTTGAACCCATAGGCCCCTCATTCCAAAAGCTAGGCCTTCTCACTCTGAGCCAAAGCTGAGCACTGAGTAGAAAATCTCCAATGTTAAAAGAAAGTCAAATGGAAACTATTAAAAGCAATACACCCAGCCAGCGCCGCAGCTCACTTGGCTAATCTTCCAACTGCAGCGCCAGCACCCTGGGTTCTAGTCCTGGTTGCTCCTCTTCCAGTCCAGCTCTCTGCTGTGGCCTGGGAAGGCAGTGGAGCATGGCCCAAGTGCTTGGGTCCCTGCACCCACATGGGAGACCAGGAGGAAGCACTCGGCTCCTGGCTTCAGATCGGCACAGCGCTGGCTGTGGCGGCCATTAGGGGAGTGAACCAACGGAAGGAAGACCTTTCTGTCTATCTCTCTCTGTTTCTAACTCTGCCATCAAAAAAAAAAAAAAAGGCAATACACCCAACAGGCAGAACGATAAATCAAACCCCAATATAATAGGTCTTATTAAAACACAACCCCTGTGTAATCCAAAGATGAAAAACAAATCCCAGTATTTCATTTATTCCCAAAAGTGTATGAATAGTCCTGTAAAATTCTTTATAAAAAGATTTGTCATACTCTTTGTTGTTCACGCTTCAAAATTCTCCTTACCTCTTCCCTCCCCATTCTGCCTGGCTGGGTAGCACTGGTCTCCAAGCTATTTCCTGACCCTCTGTCCTCTGTCCTATGCTCAGTATCTATGAGGACAGAACTTGAAGGATGAGGAGACTGGGAAGGGGCCTTCTAAAATCTGTATTCCCAATTCTCAAAGTCCAGCAAACAACACCTCTGATCCTCCCACTCCACCGCAACCCGCCCCAGAGGCTGCAGTTGCTACTGGCCACTCCCAGCCCAGGCCATTTCTGCCATGGCATGGCAGACAGACAGCTGAAGGACCTGAGGCTCTTATATTCCAGAGTTAATGTGCACCTACGTGTTGAGCATGATTTTGCACAGCAACATGTACTTCAGAGATGTGATGGCCTTGGGGCTATCGATGGAGTCATAGCCCTCAAATGCCTCATAGAAGTACGAGTATGCAGTTTTCCAGTCCTTCTCCTCTGCTGCATGGATAATACCTGGGCATTGAAAAGAAACGAGTAAGAACCATACAAAATAATAAAACCATTAAAGATCAGAGCTGGGAGGGGCCTCAGAAATCTACTCCAACCCCATCACCTTATTGATGAGATCAGGAGAGAATGAAAGTATCTGTCCAAAGTCACAGTCAGCTAATGAGAAATGAGATCAGAACCAGGTTTTTCAATTCTCAGGTCAATGTCATATTGCCATAATCCATTCCCGAAAGAGTCAAAGACCCAACTAACTCAGAGAGAATCATAAATACTATACAGTGTCCCATCTTCCTCCTGTGCTTCTCACTACACTATCCTCAGCTCTGTTGTCTTTTGGGGCCACTGTAAAAGGCCATGTTTATCCTCCATGACATAACTTTCACAAGTAGGAAATTGACCTAAACATCCCTAGACAGCCTAAATAACCTATTTTAATAATATCAAGTACTTTAAGATAGCTTTCCAAAGCTTGACATTTTTATACTTAAGCAGTTTGCATGGAGGGGAAGAAAGAGAAACAAGTTTCTTTTCGTTTCACTTCAATATTTGTCAATTTATGGATTCACTTCTGCCTAGATGTAATCAGTGTACAGATCTCATGAACTTAGCTGTACATGGATAAGCAGTATTTCTTTAGGTTGATAAAGCATAGTTCAGCTAACCAATCCATAGTTTGGCTAACAATCCTGTGTAGATTACGGGGGTGGGGAACATCTGGCCTGCAGGCTGTGCAAGGCCAATGAAATCATTTGGTCTGGCCCTGCCAAGGCAACCCATAGGCAGGACTCAAAATTCAGTAAATCTTTAGCAGGTTAATTTTTCCACTGATAATTTTATATGGCCTGTAAATGATGTTTTAACTATCCAGATGGCCATTGGCAGAAAAAAGTTCCCAATCCCGGGTTTAGAAGTTGTGGTTGCTCCCAATGAAATTAACTTTGATTGAACCTGCTATTACTTCCAACCTATGCTATCACTTGGGATAACACAAAAATTAGTTCTTCCAACACAGGCTATACTTCTGTATATCAGCTCTAACTTTGCATCAGGCCCTCATGTAGTCACAGACCACAGCCCCATCCATTTTCTAACCCAGTGCCTCCCAGTATGTTTCACATCAAGTGACACGAAGGAAGTATTTAGCACAACCAAGGTAAAGGATGAAGCTGCTCATGGAAGCAACTGATGTTTCAGCACACCTTCTACCTACCTGTGGCATTCTTGTGGTCATGGCATGCAATGGCAAACTGCTCACCTAGTAATTTACTAATGACATGTGCCAACCCCAGCCCTTTTATCCTGCCCAAAGAACTTCCCACTTTGAGGCTGGAGGAATCAAATCCTTTTTCTACTATTGTTCTTAACTGAAGAGGCTTGGAGGAAAACCTGCCCTTTCCTGCAACCATGGAGGGTTCCTAAAGAACCCAACCTCTTTGCTAAATTTTTAAAGATTTATTTTTTTGAAAGGCAGAGCAACAGAGGGAGATAGAAAGAGAGATGGACAAAGAGAGATACTGATCTTCCATCTACTAGTTTATTCCCTAAATGGCAATAATAGCCAGGTCTGGGCCAGGAAGAAGCCAATAGCCAGGACCTCCATCCTGGTCTCCCACAGGGGTAGCAGGAACCCAAGTACTTGTGCCATCCTCTGCTGCCTTCCAAGGTGCATTAGCAGGAAGCTGGATCAGAAGCAGAATTGCAAGGACTCGAATCGGCACTCAGATATGGGATGTCAGTGTTGCAAGTGGTAGGTTAACCCGCTCTAACACAATACCAGTCCATTAATTTTAATTTTTATATTTTCATTTATCTTCACTTTATTTGAGAGTCAGAGACAGGAGAGAGAGATTTTCCATCTATGGGTTCACCTCACAAATGCCTCCAACATCCAGGGCTAAGCCAGACTGAAGCTAAGAGCCAAGAACTCAATCTAGGTCTCCCATGTAGGTGGCAGGGACCCATATACTTTAAGCCGCCATCTGCTGCCTCCCAGGGTGTATATTAGCAGGAAGATGGATTGGAAATGGAAGGGTCAGGACTGGAAACAAGCATTTTGATATGAGATACAGGCTTCCTAAGCAGCGTCTTAACTGGTAAGCCAAATGTCTACCCCCAAAAATACTATTAGTGATGCCAAACTAAATGAAATACATTCCCATTTCCCCATATCTCTAAATACAGAGCTAGTACAGAATAGGCCAGACCCAAAATATGTATGGTTATTTTTAAAAAAAAGTAAAGTAAGATCCAAAAGCCAGTATACAGCCTTAGCAAACAAGTGAGTAAATATGGACCATGTGAGCACCAGGAGTGTCATGGTCAGCATATGAGGTTTACTTTTAAAAACTAGACTGTTATTCATCCAACACAAACAAGCTGATAGAGCAACAGAGAAAACAAAGGAGTTAATTCATCACTTAGGATACCTGAATCCCATGTCAGAGTAGCTAGGGTCCCAGCTCTGCTCCCAGTCCCAGCTTCCTGCTTAGGCACACTTTAAGAGGCAGCAGGGGACGGCTCAAGTGCTTGAGTCCCCGACACCCATGCAGGAGACCTGGAATGAATTCCTGGCTCCTGACTTCAGCCTGCCCAGCCATGACTGCTGCAGACATTTGGGGAGTGAACCAGTAGATGGGACATCTCTTCTTGTCTGTCTCCCTCTTCCTGTCTTTCAAAATATTAAATAAAAATTTTAAAAATAAAAATAAAAAAAACAAGAATAAGCTCTGAAGGAGCTCACAGTCCGGCTGGAAACAGTCACTAACTAAAGTATTACCAAAATACATACAAAAGAACGTTCCGTTGATAGGGAAGTCCAAAAGCAAAGAAGATACAGAGGGAGGGGACATCTGAGCTGGATCTAGAAGGATGTATAGGGGTTTGCCACAGGGACAAGGTGAAAGGGGAATTCCAGCAGAGAAGACAAGATATACAATGGCACCAAAACAGGAGACAGCATGAAGTATCCAGAGAATCTGATACCAGAGAGGAAAGTAAAAAGGGAAGGATGCCTTCCTTTGAACACCACATTAAAGACAAAGTTTGCCTGGAGACAAGAAGAAATTTTTAACAAAGGAACTGTATGATCAGATTTGTGACTCAGAAAAATGACAGTGAAATCAGTAAGAATGGATGAGACAAAGCACCAAGGTACTAGCGTCTAGACTGTGAAGGACTGACTGCCTCAGGGGCCTGGGTGGTAACTCACAGGAGTGGCCTGTAGAAACAGGAAAATCCACATGATTTGGTAACTGGCTTAACGGATGGAGTGGAAGGAGTCAAAACTGCTCCAAAGACAACAGCTTGAACAACTAAGACAATAATAATACCATTAACTAAGACAGGAAATGCAGAAAGGAAAAGCTAGGCAGGAGAATTGGAAAATAAATTTAGTTTTGATATGTTGACACTGAGATACCTATGGGATATTACATACATACATCCTTTAAGTAGCTGGAAACCTGGATCTAGAGTTTAAGAACGAGGGAAGCTACCAGAAATCAGTATTATGTGGAAGCTAAGCCACGGGAGATGAAACTGGACAGAAAATGAGAACAGGAAGGAAAAAGAACTAAAAAGCAACATGCATGCTTTAGGGTTAGAAGGAAATAGCAACTATGGCCACAAATATTTACGAGGAAAACCAAGAAGACAGTGACAAACAAAACCCTATAATGTTCAACAGGGTTGGATTCCCATAAAAGAAATTTTTTGGTATTTTTTTTAAAGATTTATTTATTTGAAAGTCACGGTCATATAGAGAAGGAGAAAGAGGGAGAAGGATCTTCCATCTGCTGGTTCACTCTCCAAAGGGCCACAGCAGCTGGGCTGGGGCTGAGCCAGGCCAAAGCCAGGAGCCAGGAGCTTCTTCCAGGTCTCCCTCATGGGCAGCAGGGACCTAGGCACTTGGGACATCCTCTGCTGCTTTCCTAGGCCATTAATAGGGAGCAGAGTCAACAGTGAAGTACTCAAGACTTGGACTGGTGCCCATATGTGATGCCAGCATTGTGGGCAGCGATTTTACTCACTATGCTACAATGCCAATCCAAAAATCAGAAATTTTTAGGGAATCTGTTGACTTCTTCCAAGGCGTTAACACAGACACCAAAGTAAGGAAAATTTCAACTTTTTCAAGAATATTAACAGAAAGGGGAAGATAGCAATTGAAAAAGGAGAAGGGGGAGGGCAGTGCTGTGGTGTAGCAGGTAAAGTCGCCACCTAAAGCACCGGGATCTCGTGTGGGCATAGGTTCAAGCCCCAGCCACTCTACTTCTGATCCAGCTCCCTGGTGATGTGGGAGACCCAGATGAAGCTCCTGGCTCCTACCTGGCCCACCCCTGGTTGTTACAGCCATTTAGGGAGTGAACCAGCAAAGGAAAGATATTTCAGTCTCTGCTTTGGCCTCTCCTCTGTACCTTTTTTTTTTTTTTTTAAGATTTTATTTATTTATTTGAGAGGTAGAGTTAGAGACAGTGAGAGGGAGAGACAGAGAGAAAGGTCTTCCTTCTGCTGGTTCACTCCCCCGATGGCCCCAACGGCGGAGCTGCACCAATCCGAACCCAGGAACCAGGTGCCTCTTCCTGGTCTCCCACATGGGTGCAGGGGCCCAAGGACTTGGGCCATCTTCTACTGCTTTCCCAGGTCCTAGCAGACTTGGATTGAAAGTACGGCAGCCAGGACTAGAATCGGCGCCCCTATCGGGTGCCAGTGCCACAGGAGGAGGATTAACCTACTGCACCACGGTGCCAGCCCCTGTGCAAAGGAAGGAAGGAAGGGGATGGCGCAGTGGCTCACTTGGTTAATCCTCTGCCTGCAGTGCCAGCATCCCATATGGGCACCGGGTTCTAGTCCTGGTTGCCCCTCTTCCAGTCCAGCTCTCTGCTGTGGCCCAGGAAGGCAGTGGAGGATGGCCCAAGTGCTTGGGCCCTGCACCCGCATGGGAGACCAGGAGGAAGCAGCTGGCTCTTGGCTTCGGATTGGTGCAGTGCTCCAGCCGTACTGGCCATTTGGGGGGTGAACCAACGGAAGAAAGACCTTTCTCTCTCTCTCGCTCACTGTCTAACTCTGCCTGTCAAATTTAAAAAAAAAAAAAAAAAAAAGGAGAAAGGGAAGGGAAGGGGAGGGGAGGGGAGGGGAGGGAAGGAAAGAGGGAAGGAGGGAGGGAGGGAGGGAGGAAGGGAGGGAGGGAGACACGCATTTGGCCTAGCAGTTAAGATATTGATTATGATGCCTGAATCCCACATCAGAGTACCTGGGTTTGAGTCTCAGCTTTGCTTCTGATCTCAGTTTTCTGCCAGTACAGACCGTGGGAAGCAGGGATGATAATGTAAGTAGTTCGTGCCCTGCTACCCACATAGAAATCTGGATTGAGTTCCCAGCTCCCAACTTCAGTCTGATCCAGTCTCAGACACTGAAGGAACTCAATGAGTGAACAAGTAGATAAGACCTCTTTCCCTCTCTCCCCTTCTCTCTCTCTCTCTTGCCTCTCAAATAATTTTTTAAAAAAGGAGAAGGTGCTGTGGTTTTTTTAGCCAGGACAGATCAAAAACTGAGAAGACAACCTCTGGTTTAGAAGAAAGACTAAAGACTTATTATGGAACAAAAAGACAAGTGGAAAATCACTCTTGATGAGGGGTAAAAATGGACAGTGGTATAAATTCTGTAAAGGAACCATTTCCATTGTCTCTCAAAAAAAACAGGATGCAATTCAAATCTTGATTATTTAGGAAGGGAACAGTTAATAGAGTAGTGGCTTAAACAAAGTTGCCAATATTTGGCTTAAGCTGCACAGTTCTATGAGGGGGTACAGTGACTGGCACCACTTTACAGACAGCAAAAGTTAAAGATAAATTAAGGAATTTGCCCAAAGTCACACATCTAGCAACCAAAGAACGAGATGTCAACCTAAGAAAGTCTGATTCTAGAGCACAACACCAATGCAAGCTGGTGGGTTTATCTTTTACCCATGAGACTGAACATCAGCACCCAAACCAATCTTCTGCCTCCAATTCCAACACTCCCTCAACAGCAATGTCTCCTGGGAAAAAAGCTGCTGAATTCAAGAAACAATATCCCACCTGCCAACCCCCGGGCTTAACCCTAACATTGACACACTATACCACAAAGCTACATACTATACTAAGCCCTGATCTAAGGCCCTTTCAAAAAGTCCAACAAGCTTTACAAAGGTCTCCAAGAGTTAACAGAGTTGAGTTAGACCAATCTTGAAGAGAAATGTCAGCATTCTGCATAATGACACAGAGGAAAATTAAGGAAGACGTCTCTAGAGAGTTCAGCTGTACCAGCCAGGCTACCTGGTCATGCACAGATAAACACATTCTTAATCCATGTGAAGTAACTAACAGGAGGCAGACAGCTATGTAGAGGTAACAGGAGGGAGACTAGCTAGTTAGAAAGGTAGCCTCTAATCCTTTAAGGATTAAAGTGTTGATTTGGCTTAAACCAAATCAGCCCACTGGATTCCAGACCCAAGCCTCATTCCTTGCAGCTGAAAGATGAGCTCGAAGAAAACACATCCCAGAAGTAGCTCCAAGTTACCTGACTGCATGTCCAAGGTGGCCTGCAGTTTAGGAGGGCAATAGATGGCATTTGCTGTGGTTCGAGCAGAGGTTAAGGCAGCTCGGGCTTTCGGCAGATTGCTCAGGGCGTGGTATGTTTTGCTTTCTAAAAGTTGTACTTCCACCAAAAGGGCTTTATCATCCATCTTTTTTAATTCCCGAAGCAGTTGAGAACCTAGAGAAGGAAAGGAGATAGAGATATCTCTTTGTTAGCCATAATCTTAATACCATAACACTTATAAAATCTCACTTTCCCATTCTCATAACTCTCAGGATAAAAAAAAAAAACCTGCCTGAGGGGCCGCCATCACGACATAGCGGGTAAGCCGCCAGCTGTGACGTCGGCATCCCAAATGAGCACCAGTTTGAATCCTACCTGCTCCACTTCTGATTCAGCTCCCTGTTAATGTGCCTCAGAAAGCAGCTGAAGATGGTCTAAGTCTTTGGGTCCCTGCACATACGTGGGAGACCCAGAAGAAGCTCCTGGCTTCAGCCTGGCCCAGCCCTAGCTGTTGCAGCCATTTGGGGAGTGAACCAGTGGATGAAAGATCTCTCTCTCTCTGTCTCTGTCTCTGTAAATGTGCCTTCCAAATAAATAAAAATAAATCTTTAAAAAAAAAAAAAGGTTAACATCTACTTCAAGCCGGCGCCGCCGTAGCTCAATAGCTAATCCTCTACCTGCGGCGCCGGCACACCGGGTTCTAGTCCCAGTCGGGGCGCTGGATTCTGTCCCGGTTGCTCCCCTTCCAGTCCAGCTCTCTGCTATGGCCCGGGAGTGCAGTGGAGGATGGCCCAAGTCCTTGGGCCCTGCACCCACATGGGAGACCAGGAGGAAGCACCTGGCCTGGCTTCAGCACGGGGCACCAGCCGCAGCAGCCATTGAGGGTAAACCAACGGAAAAGGAAGACCTTTTTCTCTGTCTCTCTCTCTCTCCTGTCCACTCTGCCTTTCAAAAAAAAAAAAAAAAAATCTACTTCAAAGGACATCATCAAAAAAAGTGAAAAAACAATCGACAGAATGGAAAAAAAATTGCAAATCATGAATCTGGTAAGGGACCTGTATTCAGAATAAAAAACAAAAACAGAAAGAACATAACTAAAAACTAAGTAAAGGGGGCCAGCACTGTGGTGTGGCAGGTAAAGCCACCACCCGTGGTGCCAGCATCACATATGGGTGCTGGTTTGAGACCCGGCTGCTCCACTTCTGATCCAGCTCTCTGCTATAGCCTGGGAAAGCAGTAGAAGATGGCCAAAGTCCTCAGGTCCCTGCACCCATGTGAGGGACCTGGAAGAAGTTCCTGGCTCCTGGCTCTGGATTGACCCAGCTCCAGCCACTGCAGCCATTTGGGAAATAAACCAGCAGATGGAAGATCTCTCTCTCTCTCTCTCTCTCTCTGTGCCTCTGCCTCTCTCTAATTCTGCTTTTCAAATAAATGAATAAATCTTAAAAAAAAAAAAAAGTAAAGTATGTAAATAGATATTTCTCCAAAGATGTACAAATGACCAAGAAACACTTGAAAATAATCAATATCACTTGCATTAGGGAAATGCAAATCAAAATCATAATGAAATACTACATGGCCAGCGCCACGGCTCAATAGGCTAATCCTCCGCCTGCGGCGCCAGCACACCAGGTTTTAATCCCGGTCAGGACGCCGGATTCTGTCCCAGTCGCTCCTCTTCCTGTCCAGCTCTCTGCTATGGCCCGGGAGTGCAGTGGAGGATGGCCCAAGTCCTTGGGCCCTGCGCCCACATGGGAGACCAGGAGAAGCTCCTGGCTCCTGGCTTTGGATCAGCGCAGCACACCAGCCGCAGCGGCCATTGTGGGCTGAACCAACGGAGAAAGAAGACCTTTCTCTCTCTCTATCTCTCTCTCTCTCACTGTCCACTCTGCCTGTCAAAAAAAAAAAAAAAAAAAAAAAAAAAGAAAAAGAAAAAAGAAATGCTACTGCATACACATCAGGATAGCTGGAAGAAAAAACAGATGATATTAGGCGTTGGTAAAGATGCAAAGAAACTACAGTCATTCATACATGGCTGCAACTCAAATGGTGCAGCCAGTTTAGAAAACAGTATGGCAGCTCCTTAAAAAGCTAAATGGTAATGTGGCAAAGTAGGTTAAGCATCTGCCTGTGACACTGGCATCCCATATGGGTGCTGGTTCAAGTCCCAGCTGCTCCACTTCCAATCCAGCTCCCTGCTGATGTCCTGGAAAAGCAGCAGAAGATGGCCCAAGTGCTTGGGCCCCTGCACCTGCATGGGAGATGCATAATAAGCTCCTGGCTCCTGAATTCAGATCAGCCCAGCTCCTGCTGTTATGGCCATTTGAGGAGTAAACCAGCAGATGGAAGACTTTTCTCTCTGTCTCTCCATCTCTCTGTAATTCTGCCTCTGAAGTAATAAATCAATCTTAAAAAAAAAAAAAAAACTGAACAGTTACTATATGATCCACCAATTCTACCCTAGGTATATACCCAACAGGAAAACATGTCCACATAAAGCCTCTTCATATCAGTATTTCAAATTCCAAAAAGTAGAAACAATCCAAATGTCCATCAACTGATGATGGATAAACGTGATAAATCCATACAGTGGACTCTTAATTCAGCAATAAAAAGAAATGAAGTACTGACACATGCTACAACATAAACATGGAACATATTAATATTACAGTCCGTGAAAGAAGTCATTCGCAGAAGACTACATACTGCATAATCTCACGTATATGAAATGTCCAAAGTAAGCAAACCTACAGAAACAGGAAATACATTAGGGAAGCCTCGGGCTGGGGCATGGAGAACTAATGGAAAATGACTACACACAGGGTTTCTTTCTGGGCTGATAAAATGCTCTGAAATTAGTGGTGATGACTGCTAACTTAGTGAACATGTCAAAACCACTAAATTGTACAGTTTAAAAGGGTGAATTTTAGTTTGTGAAATATCTCAATGAAGCTGGAGTTTTTGTAATGTTACTATTTGCTGCTGTTGTTTTTAAAGATTTATTTATTTATCTGAAAGCCAGTGTCAGAGAGAGAGAAAGAATCTTCCATCTACTGGATCACTTCCCAAATGGCTGCAACAGCCAGAGCCAAAGCCAGGAGGAAGGAACTCCATCCAGATTTCCAACATGGGTGGCAGTGGCCCACGTACTTAGGCCATATTCCACTGTTTTTCTGAAGCTATTTAAATGCTACTATTTGTTTAAACCACATAAAATTGCCAGTTTTGCAAGAAAAAAATTATATACAGGCAATTTTTTCAATTTAAAAGACCATAAAAGTCATGAAGTCTTCCTGTCTACAGAAAATATTCCAGATCTACTTATAAATAAAAAGGAGCAAGGGAAAGTTTCATTGTGTTTAAAGGACACACATGGGGGCCGGTGTTGTGGTGTTGTTGCCTGTGACAACAAGATCCCATGTAGACACCAGTTCATATCCCAGCTGCTCCACTTCCAATCCAGCCCCTTGCTAATGGTCTAGGAAAAGCAGCAGAAGATGGCCAAGTGCTTGGGCCCTGCTACCTACATAGGAGTCCTGGATGAAGCTCCTGGCTTCAGCAAGGTCCAGCACTGGTCACTGCAGCCATCTGGGGAGTGAACCAGTGGATAGAAGATCTCCCTCTTTGTCTGTACCTCTGACTTTCAAACAAATAAATATCTTAAAAAATTTAAAATTAAATAAAGGCCACACAGGGGAAAGCCTTAAGTTGGCCCAATCCAGCTTCTACATATGTTTAGACCCAATTAATTTCTTGATCTTAAAAGTAGATTTTAAATTAATTATAAACATGTAATAAGTGTGACATGTTTAAACATGTGCCATTTTAAAACGAAAATCTGAAATGTAAAAGGGGTCAAACACAAAACATATATACACATTGAAAACCGTCTCAACTATTAAAATGGAAAGATTTTACTGCTCTAAATTCAAGAAACTTAAACACTAAGTTTAAGTTCTCTAAATCTCTAGCCACTTTCTCAGAACTTCAAAACAGTATATGGTATGATAGAGTAAATTTAGGCTACTTTAAATTCTTCTTAGAGCAGGTGAAATATGTTATTAATAGGCAATTATTAAGAACAGTCAGAATTAGAAAAAATTCATTTAGATAGCTAAAATGGCTCATCAATTTCTACCAGTTTACTTACCCAAATGCAATGCTTCCTGGTACCTCTTGGTATCAAAGTACAAAGACACTAGTCTTGCCTAGGAAAGAAAAAAGGCATTGATTCAAGGGAAGGGCATAAAAAAAAGCCACAGAAAGAAATCAAAGATTGACAGTCACAGAAGTCCTGATGATAACATCAAATTCAGCATGACAAATCATCTTGTCCACAATACTGTCTCCTGTTAAGGCCAGTGCCAACTAATTTTACCATGTTGTTGTTTACTTCCCTGAACCAAGTTTCGGGTCTGTATTAAAACTTCAACCAGGGAGTAGGACCATCATCAATAATCTTTAGGTGACTGGGTAACACAAGTGCTGAAAACACTTTTGACTGGGATGGCATTACCTAACCTAGTACCTAGAAACCTACAATCAGTTTTAATGTTTACACATACCTCTAAAGCTTGGCGTAAGAAAGTTCTTTTCTCTGATTTGGCCCATTCAATGCACTCTAAACAAAGTTCGACCTGCAACAAGTAAGACAGTACATGCAACGTTATGTCTTCACATTCTTCCTACAAACCATGCTTTGGAGAACAGCTTTAATTTCTTCTTTACATATTCTATTTAGTGTCTAAAGAAATTAAATGTAAGATAAAAAGCAACTGATTTATAACTACTGTTTTTGTAGGATAGTATTCTACACTAGCTCCTGCAGTAAACCATTAGGTATCTTTGACATGGTAGCTCTGAAAAAACACAGAGTAAGTACTACAGACCTTATTTAACTTCTGTTACTTTAAGCTTTGTATTGTGGTCACTAATCAGAGCATAATACAAAAGGAAATGAAATGAGAAACCCTGCTTTCCAGAGAACTGCTTCATCCAAGTTTTTATGTAAATAAATCCCAAATTCTCTTAAGAGATGTTGTAATGTTTTAGTTTTAAAGTGCATAATTCAGACTGCTAAGAGTTTTTTGTCTCGAAATACCAAATTCAAGCTCAAAAAATAAACTGGCAGATGAATAGTACACAGCATATGGATGATTCACCAGTAAGAGGTTCAGTGAAATCTTTACAACTCCTCATTAGAGCTGCTTGGTGGCTACTTAATCTCCAATCCTAAACTCAATAAAAGTTTTAATAAAAATAAAGATAGAATCAAAAATTAAACTAAAAAGCAAGCCAATTGGGGCTGGTGCTATGGTGTACAAGGTTTAAAGTCCTGGCCTGCAGCACCAGCATCCCATATGGGTGCTGGTTTAAGTCCCAGCTGCTCCACTTCTGATCCAGTTCCCTGCTAACATGCCTGCGAATGTAGCCAAGGATGGTCCAAGTCCTTTGGCCCCTACACCCATGTGGGAGACTTGGAAGAAGCCCCCAGCACCTCACTTTGGATCGGCTCAACCCCAGCTGTTGCGGCCATCTGGGGAGTGAACCAGTGGATAGAAGACTTCTCTCTCTACCTCTCTCTGTAACTTTTTCAAATAAATAATTTTTTTTAAAAATCAAGTCAACTGCAATTTCAAAGTTTTGGGTTATGTTTAAGAAGCCAAACTCAAAGTAAGATCTCTGCTCATGTTAGAAACTGAAGAATATTCACTAAATAATTTTTCTTTTATTTATTTGAAAGGCAGAGCAACACACATACACAGAGGGAGGGAAGGAGGGAAAGAGAGAGGAGAGAAAATAGGGAGAGGAGAGGAAGAGAGGGGAGGGGAGGGGAGAAGACGGAAGGAGACGAGGGAGAAAAGAAACAGAAGAGGAGCACGATCTTCTATCCACTGATTCACCCACCCACTCCCCCATCCCACCCCCATGCCAAATGCCCACAACAGCCAGGGATGGGCAAGATGGAAGCCAGAAGCACAGAACTCCATCTGGGTCTCCCACATGTGTGGCAGGAACTCAAATACTTGAGCCATCATCTGCTGCCTCCCAGGATGCACATTAGCAGGAAGTTGGATATGGAGTTAGCCAGGACTCCAACCAGGCACTCTGATATGACCAACCACACCACAATACTCACCTCTATTTCCTTCTTTATTTATTATTTATTCATTCATTCATTTATTCATTCAGAAGCAAAGAGACAGAGCAAGCTACCATTTCCTGGTCCATTTTCCAAATACCTGCAACAGGTGGGGCTAAGCCAGCGCCAGGGCCAGGCCAAGAGCAGGAAACTCAATCCAGGTCTGACACATGGGTGGCAAGAACCTATTTATTTGAGCCATCATCACTGCCCTCCAGAGTCTGCATTAGCAAGAAGCTGTAGTGAGGAGCCAGAGCCAGCATCAAACCCAGGCACTCCAAATGCAGGATGCAAGCATCTTCACTGCTAGGCTGAACACTGGGCTCCCTCAATGAACTATTTTTACAAAGAATATTTAAGTCATTAGCTCTCTGTGACTTGGGAGCACAGAAGGGGAGCTAAGAAATGCCTATCAGAGATTGGCATTCTGTTACACTGGGTTAAGTTGCAACTTGTAAAACAGGTATCTCATACCAGAATGCCAGTTCAAGTCCTGGCTCCTTAGCTTCCAATCCAGTGCCCTGCAATGTGCCTGAGAGGCAGCAGAAGATGGCCCAAGTGCTTGGGCCCCTGCACCCATGAAGGAAACGCAGAAGCTCCTAGCTCCTGGCTTCGGATGGGCCCAGCTCTGGTCATTACAGTCATTTGAGGAGTAAACCAAGGGATGGAAGATTTCTCTCTGTGTCTCCCTCCCTCCCTCTAACTCTTTCATAAATCTTTAAAAAGATAAAATAAATTAACAAAATGATCAGAGGCCTACTTACTAAGATATCTCTGTCAATGGTAACAGGACAGATTGAGGCTTTTGCAGTAGTTCAAATAGCAAATAATTAAGAACCAAGCTAGCTGCTAGTTGTAAAGAGGGAACAAAGAGAAAAGAGGTGGAGAAGCAGACATCAAAAAAGATGAACAGGACTTAACTAATAGTTGGATATCAAAGTTGGCCATGCTGAATATGACATACAGATGAAGCAATCTAGATGAGTCATATTTGTTCCAAAACAAGCAAATAACCTATAATCTACAAAAATTACCAAAAGAAGTTCTTCTTAGTATATATAGTAAGACTCTAGCTCATGATAAAAGATAAATTGCTAATCAAAAAAAAAAAAAAAAGCAGTCTTTACTTCACACTAACACACTAATAAAAATATTTTTTCCGTACAAAAAGTTTCTAGTAGGAGCTAGTGTTGTAGCACAGTGGGTTAAAACATGGTCTGCAATGCCACCATCCTGGATGTGCGCAGGTTCAAGTCTTGGTTGTTCTACTTCCAATCGAACTCCTTGCTAATGCAGCTGGGAAGGTAGCAGATGACAGCCCAAATACTTGAGTTCTAGCCATCCACGTGGGAGACCTAGATGAAGTTCTTGGCTCCTGGCTCCCAATGGGCTGCAGAGATCACTCTTTCTCTCATTCTCCTATTTTTCTCTCTGTAACTCTTTCAAATGATCTTTATTAAAGAAAGTTACCAGTAACATTACTTTCAAACAAACATTTAATGGTCAGCCAACTTTAAAGTACCCAATTTAGGGGACAGTGCAATGGCTCGGCAGGTAAAGACCTGGCCTACAGCGCCAGCATCACACATGGACACCAGTTCAAGTGCCGGCTGCTCCACTTCACATCCAACTCCCTGCTAATGCACCAGGGAGAGCAGCAGCAGATGACCCAAGTACTTGGGCCTCTGAACCCATGTGGGAGACCTAGAAGAAGCTCCTGGTTCCTGGCTTCAACTTGTGTCAATCCTGGCTGTTGCAGCCATTTCAGGGAGTAAACCAAGCAGATGGAAGACCTCTCTCCCTCTCTCTCTGTCTCTCCTTCTCTCTGTAACTCTGCCTTTCAAATATATAATCTTTAAAATAAATAAATAAGTAACCTATTTAAACTAAATAGGATTCACATTCATGAGAAAAAAACACATTTTTTATTTTAAAAAGTTTATTTATTTGAAAGGCAGAGAGAAAAAGATACAGAAACAGACAGGAAGTTCCCATCCACTGGCTCACTTCTTAAATGCCTGCAACAGCTGGGACTGACCAGTGCAAACCTAGCAGACTAGAACTCAATTCAGGACTCCTCCATGGGTGGCAGGAACCCAAGTACCTGACTCATCACCTGCTGCTTCCCAGGGTGCACATTAGTAGGAAGCTGCAATCAGCAGAGCCAGAACTCAAACTCATGCATTTCAGTGTGGGATGTAAGTGTCTCAAGAGGGTTCTTAACCACTAGCCAAATCCTGCCCCAAAAAGTACAATTTTTTTTTTTTTTTTAACAGGCAGAGTGGACAGTGAGAGAGAGACAGACAGAGAGAAAGGTCTTCCTTTTCTGTTGGTTCACCCTCTAGTGCCCACTGCGGCCGGTGCACTGCGGCTGGCGCACCGCGCTGATCTGAAGTCAGGAGCCAGGTGCTTCTCCTGGTCTCCCATTGAGTACAGGGCCCAAGCACCTGGGCCATCCTCCACTGCACTCCCGGGCCATAGCAGAGAGCTGGCCTGGAAGAGGGGCAACCGGGAAAGAATCTGGTGCCCCGACCGGGACTAGAACCCGGTGTGCCGGTGCCACAGGCGGAGGATTAGCCTATTGAGCCACGGTGCTGGCCAAAAGTACAATCTTAAAAAAGTAGGGTTGGTTAAAAGTTAGGGTTAGTTAAGACAAGTATCTAATAAAAATAATTTTCTTTTATTCATAAAAATAATTCTAGGAGCCAGTGCTGTGGCATAGTGAGTAAACCCACCTGCAGTGCCACCATCCCACATGGGTGCTGGTTCAAGTCCCGGCTGTTCCACTTCCAATACAGTTCACTGCTAATGTGCCTGGGAAGGCAGTGGAGGATGGCCCAAGTCCTTGAGTCTCTGCATTCACATGGAAGACCTGGATGATGCTCCTGGCTCCTGGTTTCGGCCTGGCCCAGCCCTGACCACTGCAGCCATTTGGGGAGTGAGCCAACAGATAGAGGGGCTCCCTCCCTCCCTCCCTCCCTCTCTCTCTCTCTCTCTCTCTCTCTCTCTCTCTGCCTCTGCTTCTCCTTCTCTGTAACTCTTTCAAAAAATAAATAAATCTTTTTAAAAAATAAAATAATTATAGGGGTCCAACACTGTGGCATAGTGGGTAAAGTTGCCACCTGCAGTGCTGGATCCCATATGGGTACCAGTTCAAGTTCCTGCTGCTCCACCTCCTATCTGGCTCCCTGCTGATGCATCTGGGAAAGCAGTGGAAGATGGCCCAAGTGCTTAGGTCCCTGTACTGACATGGGAGACCTGGAAGAAGTTCCTAGCTCCTGACTTCAGACCTGCCCAGCTCCTGCCGTTGTGGCCATCTGGGGAATGAACCAACAGATAGAAGATCTCTGCCCCTTCCTCTCTCACTCTCTCTATAACTCTGCCTTTCAAATAAATAAATGTATCTATATAAAAAATTTCTAACACTTTGGTCCAATAGGCAAGCATCTAAATATTACTTGTTTTTTGATCTATCATCATAAAACATAGCCTGCCAGAAACAGATGAATTTGAAAACTCTATAAAAGAAGTCAAAAAAGGGGCCGGTGCTGTGGCTTAGCCGGTAAAGCTGCCACCTGGAGTGCCAGCATCCCATATGGGCACTGGTTCGAGACCCGGCTGCTCCACTTCCACTCCAGCTCTCTGCTATGGCCTGGGAAAGTAGTAAAGGATGGCCCCAGTCCTTGAGCCCTCGCATCCACATGGGAGACCCAGAAGAAGTACTGGGTTCGGATAGGCACAGCTCCAGCCATTGCAGCCAATCAAGGAGTGAACCAGCAGATGGAAGACTGACACCTCCCTCCCTCCCTCCCTCCCTCCCTCTCTCTCTTTCCTTCTCTGTGTGTGTAACTCTTTCAAATAAATAAATAAATCTTTTTTAAAAAGAAGTCAGTTATGGTACTTTAAAGCAGGTCTCAACGAATCACTAAGACAAAAAGAAAACAAAAACAGTTTTTACAAAAGACATGACTTCAAAGTAGAACTTTTGTGTTGTGGGTTTTTTTTACTATTCCTCACCATTTGCTCAATATGCTACTATGGCCTTTCAAATCTTTCAACTGTATACCTACATAGGCTACAGCAAACAATCAGACCCATAATCAACTAGCAATTCCTTAATATTTCCTGACATTTTATATATTTATTGCCTGCCTTCCTCAACACATAAAAACACATAAAGCTTATAAGAAGAGTGACTGTCTTTTTTTTTTTTTTTTTGGACAGGCAGAGTTAGACAGTGAGAGAGAGAAAGACAGAAAGGTCTTCCTTCCATTGGTTCTCCCCCAAATGGCCACTACAGCCAGCACGCTGCACTGATCCAAAGCCAGGAGCCAGGTGCTTCCTCCTGGTGTCCCATGCGGGTGCAGGGCCCAAGAACTTGGGCCATCCTCTACTGCCTTCCCGGGCCACAGCAGAGAGCTGGACTGGAAGAGGAGCTACCGGGACAGAACCAGCACCCCAACTGGGACTAGAACCCTTCTTGAATCTACCACTTTTTACAGAATGACTTTTAAGATTATTTATTTATTTAAAAGACAGAGTTACAGAGAGGAAGAGAGAGAAACATAGAAAGAGACAGAGAGGGGGCCAGCGCTGTGGCATATCTGGGAAAGCCACAGCCTGCAGTGTCGGCATCCCATATGGACACCGGTTTGAGTCCTGGCTGTTCCACTTCTGATCCAGCTCTCTGTCATGGTCTGGGAAAGCAGAGGAAAATGCCCAAGTCCTTGGGACCCTGTGGGAGACCCGGAAGAAGCTTCTGGCTTTGGATCGGCGCCGCTCCAGCCATTGCAGCCAATTGGGGAGTGAACCAGTGGATGGAAGACCTCTCTCTCTGCCTCTCCTTCTCTCTCTGTGTAACTCTTTCAAATAAAAATGCATCTTTTTTAAAAAAAATTTAAAAATACATCAAAAAAAAAAAAAAAAAGAGAGAGAGAAACAGAGAGATCTTCTATACACTGGTTTACCCTGAGATGGCCACAACAGCTAGAGTTGGGCCAAGCCAAAGCAGGATCTTCATTTGGGTCTCCCACATGGATGCATGGGCCCAAGCATTTGGTCCATATTCCTCTGCTTTCCTAGGCAAATCAGCAGGCAGCTGGATTGGAAGGGGGGCAACCAGGACTCGACTGGAACCTAATGGACTGCTGGCCTTACAGGTGGCAGCTTAACCCATTAGGCCACAACACCAGCTCCCAGAAAAAGTTTTAATTTTGGTATGTGTCTTGTCCTGAGTTGCAGAAAATACAGCTATGTCTGAAATGGCTGGAAGAAGTTCCGTGATTCCAGAGTGGCACTCTTCAGTACAGTTCAAGGTCTGCTCTGATCTCAGAGTCACCTACAAGAACATCAAAGTCACGTGTACCAATGTAAGACACAAATAAGTAGATGCTCACCCCCAACAGAGGCATATATGCAGTACAAAACGTGCCAAGAAAGGGTGCCACAAGACTTAATTAGTGCTTAGAAGAAGCTCTGTGACACAAGATGAAAGGTACCGCATACATAGAAAACATTACAAAGGTGTGGCAATACAATACCTCAAAGACAAGAATCAGTTTGTGACCCTGATGTAATGAGGATTCCAGGGACCACTGACAATCTCCACTTACAAAGCAAAGCATGGAACAGACCCAAAGTATCAAATGCCCTGTAACAAAGAGAAACTGACTTGATAAGACCTGAGCTGTGCCTTCTACACAGCTCCACAATGAAGCATGCATTTCTTTCACTGAAGCAGGCTTTTGTGCATATTGTCTACTTTCTGTCATCAACATAGCTTACCTCCTGCCCTGTAGCTGCTTCCATATCAAGAAACAGATCAAGAAGAGATCGGACCAGACGAGCTGCTTTAGCCTTGCTAATGGAATTCAAGAAGGGTCGAACATACTTCAGGAGTCCTCCAAGCTCTGTGTAGAAGGCAATTCAGGAGAAAAAAAAAAGTGAATGCCATTAAACAGTAATACAAGATCATAAAAATCAGTACTTGTATCACTGGAACCAGTCTAAATGACACTTACTAGGAGTTTAAAGCATTCCCATCAGGTATTAGCATTATGAAAATAAGCTATCACATATCAAATTTGCATTGTAGTCCCTTCCCAGTCACTAAATTATTTTGAAGCCCAAGTAAAGCTCATGCTTATGCCTCACTTACCCATATTAATGAAAGATAAATAGCAAAAAATATTCATACTCTCAAAGAGCAGTTTTCTAGAACATGAAATCCTCTGTGCCTCTTGTCCATCTTGAACAAAACCACTGATAAAAATCTGATCAGGTTACAGGAGTCATTTTTATTTAATCTATTTTTAAAGATGGCTACAAGAACCGGAGCTGGGCCAATCCAAAGACAGGAACCAGGAGCTTCTTCCGGGTCTCCCACAGGGGTGCAGGGGTCCAAGGACTTGGACCATCTTCCGTTGCTTTCCCATGTACATTTGCAGGGAGCTGGATCAGAAGTGGAGCAGCCAAGACTCAAACCAGCACCCATACGGGATGCCAGCATTGCAAGTGTTACACACAGGCACTGAGCAGTTCCCTTTAAACAAGTTTTCAATTCTAAGTTCCCTTCCTCCCTTCCTGAAGTATTCTACAATTTAGCCTTTCAGCAGTATCACCCTCCTGACACTCTTCTTTATTATTTATGTGTTTTGTTTTGTTTTGTTTTGTTTTTGACAGGCAGAGTGGACAGTGAGAGAGAGAGAGACAGAGAGAAAGGTCTTCCTTTTCTGTTGGTTCACCCTCCAATGGCCGCCGCGGCCGGCGCGCTGCGGCCGGCACACCGCGCTGATCCGATGGCAGGAGCCAGGAGCCAGGTGCTTTTCCTGGTCTCCCATGGGGTGCAGGGCCCAAGCACCTGGGCCATCCTCCACTGCACTCCCTGGCCACAGCAGAGAGCTGGCCTGGAAGAGGGGCAACCGGGACAGAATCCGGCGCCCCGACCGGGACTAGAACCCGGTGTGCCGGCGCCGCTAGGCAGAGGATTAGCCAAGGGAGCCCCCGGCCCCGGCCCCGTTTTTTTTTTTTTTTTTTTTTTTTTTTTACAGGCAGAATGGACAGTGAGAGAGCGAGACAGAGAAAAAGGTCTTCCTTTTCCGTTGGTTCACTCCCCAGTGGCCACTGTGGCCAGCACGCTGCGGCCGGCGCACCGTGCTGATCTGAAGCCTGGAGCCAGGTGCTTCTCCTGGTCTCCGATGTGGGTGCAAGGCCCAAGGACTTGGGCCATCCTTCACTGCACTCCCGGGCCACAGCAGAGAGCTGGACAGGAAGAGGAGCGACCAGACAGAATCTGGCACCCTGACCGGGACAAGAACCCAGTGTGCCAGTGCTGTAGGCAGAGGATTAGCCTATTGAGCCACGGCGCCGGCCCTCCCTGACACTCTCCTAAATAAACTTTTAACTGAAATATTGCAGTTTCACCCTTGAAGTCCTACCATACTTTTGGCCTTTTTTTTTTTTTTTTTTAAAGATTTATCCATTTACTTGAGAGGCAGAGTTACAGACAGATTTTCCATCCACTGATTCACTCCCTAAATGGCTGCAGCCGGGCCAATCCAGAGTCAGGAGCCTGGAGCTTCTTCTGGGTCTCCCACACCCCTGCAGAGGCCCAAAGACTTAGAACATCGTGTACTGCTTTCCCAGGTCACAGCAGAGAGCTGGATCGGAAATGGAATAGCTGGGATTTGAACCGGCGCCCATATGGGATGCCAGTACCACAGGTGGATGTCCAACCCATTACACCACAGTGCTGGCCCCTTACCACACTTTTCAAAATTTCCTCATTAATCTGGAAAAATCTAAGTCTTAAACCATAACCAAAAAAGGTGTCATCTACATACAGGCTTGTTTTCCTTCTTGCAGAAAAGTGGGGTGCGGCCAGTGCTGTGGTGCAGTGGGTTAACCCATGGCCTGCAGCAATGGTATTCCATATGGGATGGGAAAGCAGTGAAAGACAGACCAAGAAGTAGGGCCCCTGAACTCACGTGGGAAATATGGAAGAAGTTCCTGGCTCCTGGCTTCAGTTCAGCCCAGTCTGGCCATTGCAGCCATTTTGGGAGTCAACCACAGAATGGAAGATCTCTCTCTCTCGATCTCTCTCTCTCTCTCTCTCTCTTTCTCCCTCTCTCTAACTCTGCCTTTCAAATAACCAAATAAATCTTTAAAAAGAAAATAGGGGAGTTGGCATTGTGGCATAGTGAGTAAAGCTACTGCCTACAGTGCTGCCATACCATATAGGTGCCAGTTCGAGTCCCAACTGCTCCACTTCCAATCCAGCTCTCTGCTATGCCTGGGAAGCAGTGGAAGATGGTCCAAGTGCTTGGGCTCCTGCACCCGCATGGGAGACCTGGAAGAAGCTCCTGGCTTCTCATCAGCCCAGCTCTTGTCACTACAGCCAGTGAACCAGTGAACCAGCTGATGGAAGATCTCTTTCTCCATAAATCTGCCTCTCAAATAAATAAATAGTTCTTGAAGGAGGAGGAGGAGGAGGAAAACAAAGAGCGCAGTAAGGAACTATAAGGAAGAGTTTTTAGAAACTGTGAAGTAGGGGTTGGCATTATACTGGGTTAAGCATCCACCTGTGAGGCTAGCATCCCCATATGGGCACGGGTTTGAATGCTGGCTGCTCCACTTCTGCTCCAGCTCCCTGCTAATGTACCCGAGAAAGCCGTTGAAGATGGCACAAGTCCTTGGGCCCCTGTCACCATGGTGGGAGACCAGGATGAAGCTTCTGGCTGCCAGCTTTAGCCTGGCCCACTCCTGGCTGTGTAGCCATCTGGGAAGTGAACCAGCAGACAGAAGTTTGCTCTCTCTTGCTCTCTAATTTTGCCTTTCAAATAAATAAATAAATAAAAATCTTTAAAAGAAACAATGAACTAGAGATTTGCTTGTCAAAAGTAAAAATTAGAGAATCTTTCAACTGAACAACTAGGAAGTATTTTTGGAATGTAGGTTAAGATTTCTTTAGTGCTTCTTCCTCTTTAACATTCTCCAACCGCAGACCTATCCTCCTGAGAACTTTAATTCAGGGCAAGCAAACCTCACCCTCTTGAGAAAGCTAATTCCAGGTCCTGAAACTTTCATCTGCCTGAACAGCCAGAGGACTCACAGGACCGTGTCAGGTATTAAAGGATCTCTATGGAGTGGAAAAATTCACCTTTCGCTTTACTATCCAGCACTGACTTTCGGTTCCCTGTAAGACTTTCCCATTCAGCTACCCTATTCATTCCTACACAGAGTACAGTCCTGCTTTCACACGGCACTGGTGCCACATCCCATCTGACAATGTCTTCCCATCTTCTCAATGCATCTGAGTTTTAGATATTCTTTTAGGTCTAGTAAAAATCCTATTAAGCCTTTCATGCTAATTCCAGTATACAGTGATTTCTCCCCCTCAAACTCCTTTTGCATGTATGCAAATTACATTATATAACCATAACTTTTTTAAAGAAGGCTAGTGCAATGTCTTTTCTCCCATAGCATTTCCTAAGTATACTTGAACAATTGTGCACAAGTGAGCTCTAATGAGAAATGTTCAGAAAATAACATTTACAATGTTGGTCACATTGAAGACTTTTTTTGAAAACACAAATCTATACCTCCTTCCATGTGTCTCCAAATATTTAAAGATATTTATCAGTTCTGTCTCCCTAACTTTCCCTTTCTCCAAGCTAAACATGTTTAGCCATTTCAATTGCTCCTCTGACAGCCTGGTATCTCGATTACTTCTGTAAAGGCACCATTTGTCTGCTGTGGTAACCACTGATAACAATGCTCCAGGCAGAGTCTCATGGTGGGATGGTTGGCTTAATTAATTTCCTGGATCTGACGCAAGGAAGGAAGCATGCTTTGCTATTCTCTATGGCACTCTTTGTTCAGGCTGAGTCCATTAAGGTCTTCTTGGTGACAGACTACACCAAGGCAGGTAATTACTCACCTTCTTTTTTGATAACCAAGTATTTCAAGTATATAACTTGATACTTATTCAACTGAATTATATTTTCCAGTCTTTGGCAGTAACTGTGAATCTAAATTCTGTGCCTCTACTATACTGAACTATCTACAAAAATAAGCCTACCTTCTGAAATGGTTTTAACCATGACGCTAGATGCTGACCAGACAAACAAGAATAGAATCCCACAACATGATGCTAGAGACTTCTCCAGGTTGACAAATGATTCCATTTAAGAGACATTTAGCCAATTGTAAAGTCATAACCTATATTTGTCATATGAGTATCACGACAATTCTCACTTATATATGGAAGCAAAGTTGAAGAAACAGAGAAGAGTCCAGCACTGTGGCACAGTTGATTAAGCCATGGTCTGCGGCACTAGCATCCCATATGGGCGATGGTTAAAGTCCGACTGCTCCACTTCAGCTCCCTGCTAATGCATTTGGGAAATCAGTGGAGGATGGCCCAAATCCTTGGGCCCCTGTACCCATGTGGCAGACACAGAAGTAGTTCCTGGATACTGGCTTTGGCCTGGCCCAGTCCAGGTCTTACAGCTATTTGGGGAGTGAACCAGCAGATGGAAGATCTCTGTCTCTCATGCTTTCTCTCCATATAACTCTGCTTTAAGATCAATAAATAAACATTTTTTTAAAAAAAGGAAGAAAAGAACAGTAGTTACCAGAGTCTAGGGAAGGCATGGGGGAGATAGAGTGGAGAGAGCAGGTAAAACACATTAAGGACAGAGATCCTACGTGGGGAGCATGCACCCAGTGACTCCCGTTGTTGATTTAACAATTGGCACTCTTATTTATGACGTCAGCAATCACCCGAGACTCTTGCTATGAGCTGTCCAGGCTATGGAAGCCCCTTGAGTTCACCGACTCTGAACTTGTTTAGTCAAGGCCGTATCACAGTGGAGGTTCCTTCCTCCCTTCAGAGAAAGGTGCCTCCCTC